TCATATTTCAATCTCTTTCTAACCACCTTGACTTGGAAACGAATTAGTATCATTAACCTTCATACACTTATAGTGTGACTTGAATCTAACTAACTGAACAAATATTTACATGGCAAATGAGTTGATAATTAAAAATTCATTTCATATTAAGCTGTACATTCAGTACAAGTTCTAGTATGTACACTTTCATCCTATTAAAACCATACTTTGACAGTGTCACTAATTTGTAGTTTGAAAATGAAAAGGATTCATTTTTGTATGTAAAGTGAACAATCATTGTTTCCAATGTTTAATAAAATTGCAATAACGAATATATTCAAGCTTTTTTTGTTCATTTAATGATTGAGTGTTGCATAAAAGAGTTTATCTCGTCTCTGACAATATAAAGCTATCTACGTATATCTTTAATGAAAAATGTCATTGTTGTAGCCCATTCTCATTCCAGATTACCAGATGAAATGAAAAAATTCAAATTATATGAAAGTTAGAAAAAAATTGTCAGTGCAAATTACGCTCTTACATTCAGCGCTTAATCTCATTTGATTTGTATGAGGACTGTGATACTGCCCGGGTGCCCAGATTGAAGCAGGTAGTTTTCTTAAGAGGCCACAACCGGAGCCTTTGACCTAAAGGTCTGATCCACAAGGCAGTGGAGCATTGTAAGGAGATGTAGTCCCATGGTAGCCGATGACCAACGATTGGTTCATACGCCATTTGTTCCCTCTGGATACTGGAGCCCTTGTGCACCATTGGTTTGGAATCAGGGTTTTCTAACTCCCCTAGGTGAACTTTCCATGTCCACCAGCCCGGTTAAAGCGCCGGACATTCGCTTTTCGTCCTCTCAATTTCGTAAACAACACCCCTGCCACGAGAAGGTAGTGAGTAGGACTTCCCTGGTAGAGGTTATAGACTCGTGTCCATATGAGAGCATTTCGAGAGTGAGAGGGGACTCTCCCCAGGGCATTTGGAGGCTCAATCACTAAACAAACAATAACACACAAATTGGACATTAATAAAGCAAATGCGTTGCAAATTCACCAAAACACGTATCCTACTTTTTCTTTCTTCAACTAGTCAATTATTCAAAAGTTAAACTATAGGAGATATTTCATTACGTTCTATATTGTTTTGTCAATATTTGCTATCATATCTTAAGGGAAAATATTCTCATTTTCTGTGCCTCAATTTTATATATATATATATATATATATATATTATTGTGATTAGGAACCGATCTAAATTAGTAAAACCATTGAAAACTTGAAAGTACTGAACAGTAGCTTTGTCCTTACGCAGAATTCCTTTGTGCTGTACATCCACAACATCGTCGTCGGGGATCAAACCCTAGATCCTTTGGTCTTGCTTACAAGCGCTTAATCTTGAAACCACTGAGCTAAGACCTAGTGGTATACAAGTCAAAAATATATGTATATCTTTTCCATATATAGAATACGAAATGAATTTATTCCTAGAATAATATCTTTTTCTTAGAAAAATATTATTATTATGTTATTTACAAAACATAATTTATTCATATCACATAGTCAATACATCTTTACGTTGTTCCCAATTGCGTCATACTGTCACATGTATACATAGTTTTCTGTTCTAATTCGCAACTATACATATATGTATTTATCATTTGCGTCGACTACATCGATTTAATTTCTTTTTTTTACATTTTGTTATCGTTTATTATATATTTCAACTAATCATAATTACTATGTGTATGTATGTTTCGCTTGAAAGAGAGATAAAAAAACAACAACTTTGAACAACGATAATAATAACACCTATCAATGATAGTACTCCTATGACCTATTCTATTCTAGTTTTTTTCTGTGTGTGTGTGTGTGTGAAGTGTTTGTTTTATCAATGAAATTTGTAAGAAAGAATAAAGTGAGAAAAAAGAATTTGATTTAATTCGTGTATTGTTTCTTGTGACTTGTCATTATGGTGTTTCATTGATTAATCACCTTATTCACTTCATCAGTTGATCATGTGAGAATTGTTTCTAGTTTAGTGTATTATGGAAAAAGTGGTAATATTTTTTGTTGTGGTTGCATAGAAACAAAAAATCTCCCCATCTCTGTAAGAATTTGTAGCAAGTCAGTTGTCTTGTTAATCATTAGATAAATGTGTTTGTTATATATATATATATATATATATATATATATATATATATATATGTTTAAGCACAAGGAACAGATAGTTAATGAAAGAGTGAATTAATGGCTTTCTTGTGTAAACCATCAGCGTTTATATTTCATATTCGTTAAGTAATCTTGTTAAGTTATATAGACGTATTTGGAATAGAAGTGTGTAGGACTTGAAACCAACATATGCATACCCATGTACAACTACTAAACTGGAATGAAAATCAACTTTTTTTTAAAGTGATCTACATGTTTTTGTCAAATATTGTATATAATGGTAACTAATGTAATAAATGTTTAAGTAAGTTCCGTTATTCTTTATGGGTGAGATAAGGTACTAGATAAGTAAGTCAGATCTATTGCTGAGGTAGTGAAACTTCATAAACTGATGTGGTTAGATCCTGTGTTACATATAACTAACCGGTGTTTACCTCAGCGGGCAATGTTGTTTGGTGTAGGAGTTAACTGAAAGAATGTTAGTGATAGCCAAACGAAGTTGTGGGATCAGTCCATAAAGTCATTGAAAATTAGATGTAGCCACATAAATAGATGTAGACTGCCTGACTGATCTTCTTGTGTTTGTTGTGATCAATGATTAGATATTCTGAATAATGTGGCTTAAAATTGTATGCTATCCATTCTTTGTCTTCTCTCGAATTCTGAGCTTCAGAATTTATCATAACTTTTGTTTTTCATTAAATCAATTTTTATTGAATCTTATCTTCTATCACCACTCGTACTGTTACTAACTTTACTATTCTAGTATTTGATCTGACAATTTCATCTCTGTGCTAATGAGACAACTTGAACCTGTCAGTAAAATGTTTTGACTTTAATTTACTTGTAATGTAGTTTTTACAAAGAAACAAATAACTGTTAATGCTAATAATGAACACAGCTTCTAAGAAAAACAAATGCAAATTTACAAGATAATGTACATAATAGATGATGTAGTGCATATTTAATTCATTCATCATTGTTTCAGTGAAATTTAAATATGTGCTATATTGTATAAATTGGTTTATTTTCATGGTCCTCACACTTGTTATACAAGTTAGAACTATATATATATATATATATAGAACGTGCATATAGATTAATAATAGTTGTAGCGTGGTGAAATAGGTTCACTATAGAAGTCTTAAATAATGTTAATTGGCCTGTAATAATCTATGCATATTTATGGGTAAGTTATCACTATCAGACTATTCATGTATCAAATAACATAGAACAATGAAATACTGTTTTGTCCTAGTCTAACAACATGGATATATGGTCAAGTTTAAGTCGATAAGTGAGCGGTGACGTAACACTATGTTCATCGGCTGTTATATATATATATATAATGAATCGTGATAGCGGCTATCTGGGCTTAGTGGCACAGTGGATAATGCATTAGATTTTCTAGTGAAATTCACTATAATTATGAGTTTCAATGTCGACATCACATAAATCTAAGTTTATACAGTTAACAAGCTCTGAGTGCAACAAAACATTCGTTTTGAATTTCACTTCTGGCCACTTACCAAGCTGAGCAAGGTTATGTCTTCTTATTTCATCCACTATTCGAATGATATTTCCGGTCTTCCATATTATGCTGGCATTCCATGTACTTATGATTGTGCAATGACTAATTTGAATTTTTAGTCCATGGACCTGATATCACTTAGAGTTCTTGATTACAAAACCAAGCTTTGCTATGGGAGTAAAGGAAATATAATCTACCATAACAAGGAAATCGTAATAGAAAAATGGTTCAAAATCCTTTCCAGTGGCAGTGGACAGAGCACGGATTCACTCATTGTTAATCTTCATTTCATTTTATCTAAAATTTTATTTCCTAATCCAATACGTCATTTCCTATTCCCAGTTTCCCACTATATTCCTCTTTTAGTCTTGTTGCTTAGTGTAGGGTAAAATTGGCAAATGCAATGTTGTCCTGTGGTTCGTGTGCCCCCCCCCCAGTTTACTTAATTAAAACACAACTACTTTCAAAATCTTAGACTGTTCATCCCATAGTGTCATTTTTCGTGGTTATTTCAGTGAAAACGAATATTATTATTATTATCATGCAAGCTCACTATAGATCACTAGGTGGTGAACCAGTGTCTTGTTTGTTTCGTTTTTTTAGTGCTGATTGACCTAGGTTTTATGCTATTTGGCCATCGTCATCAAGGCAAACGTTTTGAGACATACCTTGCTGACCAAAATAGGTTCATACACCATTCGTTTCCTCAAGATCTTGAGGCTCATGTGCACCATTGGTTTGGAATTATGGTTTTGCAACTTTGCTGATTGGATCCTCCTTATCTACCGACCCGTTCCGAACATTCGCTTTTGGTCCTCTCGATTTCGTAAACAACACCTCTGTCGAGAGTGCAGTGAGTAGTACTTCCCTGATAGAGTGGCTGTATATACGTGGCCATGTGAGAGCAGTTTGAGAAAGAATGGATTCTGCTCACTTTCGGCCGTACCAAAGCAAGATTGATCACATTATAAGAAATTCCTTTGTATTTCTTGAATACTCTTGAAACTGTACTATAAATTATTTTTAAATCATGTCTTAATCTTGGATTTCGCTTTAACCAAGACAATCATCATCATGAAGTGGAAAGTCGTTATATTCTTTCATAGTTAATAATTCATGCAAATTTTGTGCTTTAAATTTGTGTGTTAAACATTCAAGATAAGTTCAACCATCAAGAAAAAAGGAATTATAAATGTTCAATAGTTCTGCAATTTTTTTTTTTGACCAATGTTATTGTAAGTTCTTCTGCATAATCATTAGTTGAATACAATGATGAGAATTTAACCGTAATATTGGTTACCTTTTTGTTATCGTAGATGGTTACAAAATTTCCAATCAGAATTAAATCGTCTCGATGCAATTATTCAACGTTGTCTTCGTCGTATGTGTCGTGTCACTACAACTGGTACATTAATATCTCAATTAAATGAAGCTGGTCCCACCTATGCTCGGTAAGTAGTGGTAAAATTTCATGTGTACTGGAAATATTTATTTATTTATGAAATTTTCTCTGTAAACAAACTTTTGGAAACGTATGAGATTACTCGATACTTAGTTGTTCCCATATATAAGTATCTGTGATAGTGTGCTGCCCACCTTAGTACCTCTCACCTGTAGTCGAATTCTTGATCTATATGACTTTGTTATCAGTATAATAGCACTGAATCATTAATTAATTACTGATTCGTTGATTCGTTTTCGATCTCAGTCCGATTCATACCTGCTATAATCGTTATGTAATGTCACTGGTGCATGTAAACACTCCATAATTGATTTAATTGCTCATTGAGAAGCATAGGATGCCCACCAGCATTCTTCATCGAACTATGTCCTGATGAATCCTTTACAATTCTTCCAGTTGTTATTCATTCTTTTGATGTCTGATTCCAATCACCGACGCAATGTGTTCTTTGGTCTTCCTCTTTCCTATTTCCTTTCAAGTTTCCAAGTTAGCTCTTACTTCGTGATGTAGTTTGATGATTTGTGCAATATATATCCTATCCACCAACTCCATCATATTTTCCTATTGTTGGGGATAATATCCGGTCAACGAACATTGATTATCTTGAGCGTACAATTGTTTATAAATATTTGTGTCTTTTTGATGATGTTTCTAGTAGTTCATCGAAGTTTCAATTCCACAAAATAGAACTGTCTTGACGTTCGTATTGTAGATTATGTGTTTGATATTAGTTGATAGTTGTTTTGAGTTTCATTTGTTCTTCAACTTTAGGAATATCCCATCTTATTCGGCACATATCTCTATTGTGACAATATAAAAAGTACTTGTTTGTGTGTAGATGTTATGTAAATAAATAAAAGGAAATGATTTATTTTTACTCCTCTATTTTTCCCTCGTATAACCTGGTTTAGTGTGTTCGTATATGTGCAATGTTTTCTTAAAGTCTAGTTTTACATATCGGCTGATTTGCTAATGTTATGAATCACATTATATATTTATTTATTTACTTAATGTAAATCATCATTTGTACTGTATGTTTTATTTGTCTGTTTTTTTTTTCGTTAAAACACACACACACACACAAATACCCTATGTTACTGTGACTAGAAATTCTTTCGGAGTACACATGATATATAGGATATACTATATATGTACGAATGCATGGTTACAAATTGATCATATGACTGGAATTCTCTTTTTATTTTTAAAAAAATATTATTGATCGATCATAAATATTCAGTTTATTTTATTGAAATGTACTTTAGTATAAATTTTTACACGATTTATTGTACGACGATTGAATGACTTATGATGTATTCGTCATAATACAATTTACATTATCCTATATGATTCCAGTGGTAAGAAAAGAAATAAAACTCCATATAGGTTTGAATTCTTACAAAGAGAGACTTAACAGCTGAATTCTTTTACACATATGGATAAATTTCAAGGATTATTAGCAGATGAGATGGAATACAATTAACTATTCTATGGCAACTAATGATTATTAAATGAACTTGAACTTATTAATCCATTTATTCTATCGCTTAATTATCTGAACAAAAACGGTTACTTTCAACTATTCTAATCATTTATTTTATTGGAATATTTGATGAATAATGAACTTCATCAACAGAATCTGTTGAGATGATCCTGCAAATTTCTCGTGATAAACATGACATGCTCAGGAAACATTAAGGAGCATTTTATCCAATCAGCATCTGACTAGAAGTTTTGCTAGAAACATCATGAAAGTGAAAAGTCACATGTAGAAGTTCTGATTGGTTGATTACTATACTGCTACTGTGTTTAGTAGTATTCTAGAATTTTCAGGAAAACCCAAGGACTTCTAAAATACTATAAAAACCCTATATTTTCTGTACATAAATGAATTTTTGGAGTAAAGTGCTTCTCGTATATTTTGTGCCTTTTCTCTCGTGTTCAAGTCTCTGTGTAGTTCTAGCTTGGGGGTTACGAGACTAGCTTAGGATCAGAATATAGCGTTCAATCAACAAGACTTATCAGAATCACACAAGCTTTTATACTTTAAAAAAAAACTTCATTGAGATGCTTAACTCATATCGTCTATAAAAACATTGTCTGCTTTCAACAAAATATTCACCGATCATGGGCGATATTATGATCAATGTAATTTTGTTTGCTTTTCTTCTCTCACCTCAGATCCATTTACATATATATACAATTTGTTAACTTAGCACACTTTTCTTTAAACACCACATGTCTCATACGCACTACAGAAATTTTTTTTACATTCAACCATGTTAACATAAATGACCTGTTTAGTAAACAATTAATTGGAGAATCATGTAACTACTTATATTCGATAATTTTGATGTTTGATTATATTTCCCTGAAGAAGTTTGAATCAGAATGTCAGGCGAAACGTTGGATTTATTTAAAATTCCATAACTGAGAGTTTTACAAAAATATAATTTCTCCTCCCCAATATCTTGTATGGGATCATATATTTCGGATTGTCAATGGCCACTAAAATGAAGCTTGTGTACTCCGTTCGTTGACTTTCCCACCACTATGTTTGTAAAGAAAACTATATTCACAGTTTAAACATTTAAAATATTCATGGAATTCGTTGTTAAATAATCTCCTAATTGTAGTTAGTAGTAAGTTTTCATTCGATCTTCGGGCCGTACATGCTGTTTGATGTTCAAACGAGTGAATAATGCATTCAAACTCGACTGTACCCATCGACATTGTGTATGTATTTAGTTCGTAGTTTACGTAGTTTAGGTGGTGTGTGACTTTTCGCTCTTCAATATCTCAGTGAATAGGTTGCGCTGTTTCTTCTCAAACTTTTATCACCTGGTTACACATTTATGTCTTTTTTCAGACAGTATTGGTACGTTAGTGTGGGAAGCACACAACTTGAAAGCAGTAGGTCGAAAGTCCTAATTTCACTTCACCTACTTTTGGGTTTAGACAGTCTATCAACCTTCACATAAATTGTGTAAATCGAAGCCAAACTTGTAAAGTCAACTACTATAAGCTTTAAATTACTTACCAATCCTATGTTACTTAGTATTAGATGAGATGTACAATAGTGGAGTTTAAAATAATCTTCTTATACAACTCTAAAAACTGCTGAGAGAATTTGATATATTTTAATGATGCACATATAGTACATATACACATGGTACACATGGTACATATACACATATGGCGAACTGTCATCAGAACTGATTACCACAAGTGGCGTTCGTCAGGGCTGTCCACTCTCCCCATTCTTGTTTAACTTTGTCATTGACATACTTTTAGAGATAGCACTTTCATCAGCTAAACCTCCAGGAGTTGAACTTTTACCAGGAGGCTCACTTGTTGACTTAGAATACGCCGACGACATAGTTTTACTCGGTGAAGACGCTGACAACATGCAGAGTCTTCTGACTACTATAAGCAACTATGCAGGCATGTTCGGAATGCGATTCTCTCCCTCGAAGTGCAAAATGTTACTTCAGGATTGGGTTGCAGCGACACCTGAACTAATGATAGGGAGTGAAGTAGTTGAGCGTGTAGACCACTTCACTTATCTTGGGAGTCTCATCAGCCCTTGTGGTCTGGTATGTGACGAAATCTCAGCACGGATACAGAAGGCTCGTCTAGCTTTCGCCAACTTGCGTCATTTATGGCGTAGGCGAGATATCCGTCTAGCAACCAAAGGACGGGTTTACTGTGCAGCAGTTCGCTCCGTCCTACTTTATGGCAGTGAATCATGGCCAATAAGAGTAGAGGATATTCGTAGGCTACTAGTGTTCGATCATAGGTGTCTTCGAAGCATTGCTCGTATATCCTGGGACCACCGGGTAAGTAATGCAGTTGTTAGGAAACGAGTGCTAGGTAGGGATGGCAAATCGATTGATGAAGTAGTGAAACTTCATCAGTTGAGATGGCTGGGACATGTGTTACGTATGCCCGACCACCGACTGCCCCGACGTGCAATGTTTCATGGTGTAGGAGTAGGTTGGAAGAAAGCTAGGGGTGGCCAGACCAGAACGTGGCACAAATCAATGAAGTCACTGACAAGTGGACTGGGCCATGTTGGTAGGTGTAGACTACCTGGTTGGGATTCGCGAGATGACAGCAACCGATGGTTAGAGACCTTGAATGACATGGCTCAAAATCGTTTGCAATGGCGAAGGTGCATCCACTCTTTGTGTTCTACCAAATTCTAATCTTCTGAATTCCTCATGTATTTATCTTTTCTCTTTCCAAATTTATTTCACTGTACTATACTCCTTCAATAATTTCTTCAAACCCTAATCTTTTGGATTTCTGATTATACTCCTACTACTTCTACCACTATGGGAATTGAATCGACAACTGCATCTCTGTGCTAATGTGGTATGGCAACTCGAACTGATGTACGTACGTACGAAGTTCTACGTTGTGACTGACTGACTGACTGACATAATTAATTGGTTTTAAGTTTATTTATGATTTCCTCCTCTTTGTTTTTGCTTTTTTTTTAATTATCAATAGCTGTTTAGCTGAAATTGTTAGACGTACAGAATTTGACGATATGCTTACTCAACGATCTGTATGTTATCTTAAAGAGGAAACTAATTTGAGAACTGAAGAATGTCGCCGACGGCGTATATTTTCTAAACATTTAAGTATGTTTTTAAATGTCAATATGCTGCTAATACTATATTCTATTACTTTGAATCACCCATTTGTCTGTGAACACATTTATTTTTAACTTGATTATCTCCGTCACACGGACGTTATTTTACGATATATATCGAATAGATTATATACAATACCTGATTTTAGCTGCTACCTTTTATGTCCTATGGCCTATCAAATATCACGTGATAAGATTGCCTTGTCCCTATGCCAAACGAATGGTGCATCAAAACAGCACTAGCAGCCTTAAATGAACTCTTAGTCCTCATTGGTCTTCTGTACAGTAGTTCTCCTAGCCCAGTCCGCTCAATCTAAAACACAAATATCAGGCCCCGCTAATGGGAATTGTATATTTCAGACATACGTGGTATATATACAAGCGGACTAGACTTCATGGTGGGACTATAATTGATGGATAACCTTTGAAAGACACTAAAGTGATGTTGATAATGTCCAGCTACTAACTAGGATTAAATGAGGCTTATAAACCAGTGAGAGGAATTAGAATTATGATTCACGGTTGATGGTTAGTTTTAAGAATTAGATTTGCGGTTTTCAGCACAAACTGACATTAGCCAAGACTCTATTTAGCCAAATAAATGAATTAGTTTCGCGCCAAAATCCAGGACCTGATATCTTATATCTGATCGGTTCGCCCATGAATTATAGTCTCGCCGACGGCATCGCACCATAAAATGAAAAATTATAACTATACAAGTTCAAAACAGAAATAGCTGCTAGTATGGATGACTGTATCTGATAAAATGGGAATAAATTAGTAATGGTAAATCGTATAATAGTAGCCAATAGGTTAAACGAAGGCTTATGATAAAAGGAATATATGTAGATATACATAATCTCATCACTTCATAATTATGCAATAAGAATATATGTAATAGTAGTCCATAAGTAATTCTCATCAATTACCATTCATTTATTCTTCATTCGGATATAACACTACCTTGATGTATTAGTTTCATCCTACATAATTCGATGACCCAACTGAAGTATGTTTGCTGGAACATTCATTACTTTAGGTCTTATCATGCCAGATAGGTCATATAGTGAACGGTAAGACTAAAATTAACAGTTTAAGTTCTGGAATTAAACTCTAGGAGAAATTATTGTTATTTCAGAATTCTTTTGGACATTAAATATCTGGTAGTCTGTATGTGATTTATTCAAATCGTCTACAAATTAACTTCCATCCCTTCTCTCTCTCTCCCCCTATATATATATATATATATATATATATATATATATATCAAAGTCTCTGACCATTTGTTAAGGTAATCTCGTAAACCACAACTAAGCAGTTTTCGCCTATCTATATGACTCGGTCCCATGGTCAGTGTTTTCATAGATCGGTACCATGTCTATGTTTGTGCGTCATTCTCCTTTTTCCAATATGCTCCTCCATCAGCTATCGTCTCCTGCCGAGTTATGATTAATTGGTTTTTAAATATATTAAGAGGTCTAATAATAAATAATATTTCATTTTAAACATGATTTTTTTCTTTTATTCCTAGAAAATAACGTTCTACATTCACTCTTCTCTCCATGGACTAATCCAAAAGCGGAATCTCTCGGGGTAATTGATCAATTAGTTTATTGTTTAATTCATTCCTCCAATATAAATGTATTGCTGTTTTCATGTATTATTCAATTTCATCGCTATTATATGTTATGACTGTGAATTGAACTTTGTCTGTTTATATGTATGTTTGAAAGCTCTCTATTTTATTTACTCGCCTAAACTGAAGTATACATCATAGCTCAAAGTTTACATCTGTGATCTGATTAGTAGTATTGTTCATAAATCATAGAATTTTTTTAGCAAATAAATTGTTAATCAATGCATTTTAACAATCTATGTAGTACTGTTATTTTTGATAAAAATTGACTTGAGATTGTTGTGGTGATAGAATTAAAACTTTAAAATATGCATTATGTTAGCTTACAAATGAGATATGTTCCCTTACTATTTAGAATGTATGTTCATTTAATTGATTTATTAAATGATTGATTTAGTGACTGTTCATAAATCTGATTTTGAACTTACTTCAAGATGGATAACATTTGATGGTTGTCACTCAATGTTACATAATGATTAGAGTTGAGTTTGTTCACCTGGGCGCGAATGGTGAAACTCCCTTTTTACTCAACTTGAAGGTTATGGATTTGATTCTTAGTAGTGCCATTTAATACACATTACCATGGAGTCTAATACTTTCCAGTTCTCCATGATTTTCAGCTATATTTTGACTGAGATCAACTAGTGACGAATATCTTCTACAGAATAATATAATTTGTTTGTTCTATGTCTTCATAATCGATTCATATCTGTTTTGACGTTTATCATGTAACTTCATGTTATCTATTATTCTTATCATTATTTGTGCATGTGTATAGCTTAGCAACATACCAGGAACAATTTCTATGTCACAAGATGTAGCTGAACAGCAGTTGTGTGAAACATCTACCACCACCACCACCACCACTACTACCACTACTATTACGACTACATCTAATCAGAAAGTCGATTCACTTTCACATAGTCCTCATACAAATACTACGGAATTCACGGTGAATCGACGATTCGCCTTATCTTCTTTATCTGAACCACGTTTAAATGAATTAGCCAAAGCTTGTGCATTGAATCGTGTACAACATTCTCGTGTTCGTTCAACTCGACTAAATTCACTTAGTTCACCAGATCCTCATTTGACTAAGGTTAAAGAAGATGAAATGATTGAATCGGATCAAAATAAAAAACGTTCAAATTATAATTGTCCTATACAACACCAACCAGTTTTGTTACGTCCACAACATACTAAACTATCATTTGACGCTAATCGTCGTGCTTCCATGCCATTTGATGAATCTGATCGAGGTGAATTATCCAGTCTATCAAATTGGTCAGTTGATTCGTCATCATTATTAGGTATATTATCAAATAACTTTTATCAAACTCATCATCATAATCTATCGACTATAACACAATCAGTTAAAATTACTCGTGATGATTTAGAAAGATTAATGCAATCTATGCCTACTAATATATCTAATTTATTAAGGATAGAATTGAATAAATCGTTTTCACTATTTAAAAATACTTCTTTTCTACCTAATTCATCATTGATCAATCCTAGTGGGTGTGTTTCTTTAGATCAAACATCTAATATTGCTAATAGTACCGGTTTTATCAATAGTGATGGCAGTAGTCCATTATCAAATTTAAAATCAACCATCATGACAACAACAACAACATCTAAAACATCCATATCTACAATGATGACTAGTACACAAATTAATATGCCTGAAACAAAATCTATTACAACCTCTCCATTTAGTAGTTTAGAGAATGTATCAACAAGAGATTTTATGAATGTTGGTTGTCAAGCTGAATTTGGTTTAATCGGACCAATTTTAAATGTTGGATCTGGTCGAAGCTTGAATTCTAGCCTTGGATTATCAGTTGATGAGTAAGCGTTTTATCTTATTTTGTTTTGTTGTTCAGATTTATCTGAATTTTATCAACTAATTTATTATGTATGCATAACTTTTGTCGTTATCATTATTATTATTAAACAAATCTTACCCTTATCAAAGATGCAACAAACAGTCCTTTTTTAATAAGCAATGATGAATGCTGGCTAGCAGTGGAATCCAGGACGTACGTTTTGCCGTCTGCTGAATGCTTATAATGCTTGTGACCTAAGGCAATATCGAGGCAATTTGCACAGGATGCACATATGCCAATAAGAGGCTGATCAATTCCAGTTCTAAACATCCATGGGAAAATTCAAACAAACAATACAAAAAAACTTAGTCCTTTCTTTATGTAATGAAAATTTGTTCAAAAACATTAACCTAAAACTAAATTACACAATATTAATTTATCTATTGATCAATATCTCATTTAGACAGATTCAATAAGATAATTTATGTTTGTCAGTCCTCGTTTGTATTATCTGGGTTTTTTGGTAAGGACAGTTGATTCAATTTCTTGATCGATCGTGACGATAAATATCGAATGATCGCCAATTAGATGTTAGCAGTTCAAGAATTGACATCTGAATAATGTTCATTCCTTCCAATGCATATTGCCAGCCATCGCATTATCTCTGGTTGTAGTTTTTTTGTAACAGGTCGTAGACTTTTCGTAAATACACCTGAAAAGTTTATGCGACTGATAGACATAATGTGTCAAAACAAACAACAGATTTGTTAAAATGTTTCGATGACCCCCGAATGCCCTGGTACGGCTGAGAGTGGGGAGAGTCTACTCTCACTCTCGAAATGCTCTCATATGGCTACTCGTATATAGCCTCTGCCAGGAAAGTCCTACTCACTGCCTTCTTATGGCACCGCTGTTGTTTACGAAATTGAGAGGACGAAAAGCGAATGCCCGGTGCTTTAACCGCGTCGGTGGACATGGAAAGTTCACCTAGGGGAGTTAGAAAACCCTGTTTCCAAACCAATGGTGTACATGGGCTCCAGTATCCTGAGGGAACAAATTGCGTATGAATCAATTGTTGGTCACCGGCTACCATGGGACTGCATCTCCTCACGATGCTCCACTGCCTTATGGATCAGACCTTTAGGTCAAAGGCTCGGGGTGTGGTCCCCTATGAAAACCACCTGCTTCAGTCTGGGCACCCGGGCAGTATCACATCCCTCACACAAATCAAATGAGATTTGTGCGGCGCATATTTATCTGGTGCTTCCTTGTACCAATATTTATGTGTTTAAATAATAATAAATTAGATGACATGAACAGGTTGCCCAGATATTCAAGAAGGCCCATAATAATATTGTGAAGGATAAATAATTATTATTGAAAATATTCTCTGAAAATACTGACAGAAAAGGTGTGCAAGAAGGAACACTAATCTAAATTAAAGTGAATACATTCATTATCCAATATAATTGATTCTGAACCATTTCATCAAATATCTCTAGTCAATAATTGCGATAATCTCTCAAACTATAATCGGGTAATCTACACCTATCTATTGTTGGTTGTTTTGGAGTGTTCATTTGATATCTCTGATTATTTGTCTGTCGTCATCAGATAATTAATCGACACTTTATTGGTCAAGTGTATTTTATACGTAAATGATCATATCACCATTATTATCGTTATGCTGTAAACTCCAGTATTTATGTTGGGAGTTTACTTTCATCACTTTCATGTAAGTTTACATGTCAAAAATTGTTAGAAAGACCCCGAATATTCCTCGAAAAAAGGCTGGAGGGGTCCTAAGAACACTGCAAAACATTCTATCAAATCAGCATTAAATAAAAGTTCCTCAGAAACATTTAGAAAGTGCAGAGTCACGGGTTACATTTTTGTTTGGATGATTACCTTTTATGTCACTATGTTTGGTTCGGTTCAAGAACCCAAGGCTATCTGAAACCCTATGAATACTCTCAATTTTCTATATATACAACCTTGGAGTAAAGCCTTCTTTCTCTATTTTTCGCCTTTCCTCTTGTGTTCAAGTTTTCGTGTACATTCAACCGGGGGTTACTAGAAGAACTTAGGAAAGCGTATCAAGGTATGAGCCAGAAGATTTATCAAAAAATATTGTCCATCAGTATAATCTTTAATTGCTATTCATTCGATTGTAGTCATTTAAAACACTTCAGTTCAAATTAAATTTTAAATGACTCAGATTACCCCATTGTTGATGTTTTTGACTGAACATATTAGCGTTCTTTGTGAATTGCTTCAATATAGACATTATGACACGTTGATAAAGATTAAATAAAGTTTAGCTAGCAATAGAATCCAGTGGCTCATTTCATTTTGTCTGGGAATCGTCAACTGGATGTACACACATCCCTGAAACGATGTTCACTATGAAACTCGCGATGTTAGTTGGAGTAAATGGTACTGGATTCGAATTCCATTATGAATAACAACTCTGAAATCTAGGTACATTTATATGAAGAATCTCACATAGGATGAAATGCGCTCCTAGATTCCGCCGGTAATCATATTCTATCTATTCTATATCTCAGTTTTAACTCACCTATATGAAGGAATAATAAAGTGACAACTGATTTTTTGCTAAAAAAAGTGAATTTAAAAAAAAATATGAATCAATTAACATGTGACTACATTTTTATTTAACCTCTTAATGAGAACGTGATTCACCATTCGCTTGTTTTCAAGTTCTAATCCAGTATTTCCTAATTTTTTTTCTTCCCAGTTCAGTACGTCGTACTACAATCCATACAGTTAGTAATATTCATACAGGCTGGGAAGAACTTCCAGGAAGTTTATGTAGTTGGGATTTATGTCGTTTTCCACCTGTGGCAGTACGTTCAGGTGATCGTATGTCAATTTCTTTAAATACATTACCACGTTTTGAACACTTAATGACTACTGGTACACAAACTGAAGAACAATTGGAATTTTCAGAATCTCATAATACATCTTATTCTCCTGTTAAACCTATGACTACAGAAGAATTATGCTTACAAAATAGTGAAGCACACAGAAAAGTATGTCCTTTCTTTCCAAGAAATATCATTATTATCATCACGTATCAATGTGAAGTAGTATGTTACTCTCTCCTTCCTCAAATGATTAAGGCTCAATAGGAACCACCCCCTTTTATCTTCTTTTAATACCAAATAACAATACTTTAACTGTAATTTCTCTATTATCATAATGAAAATGAAAAGATCATATTTCTTGACAGAAAAAAACATGTAGCGAGAAAAACTATATGCGGACAGCGACAGTTGGATATTTATTTTGCGATGAAAATATTAACAGCAGTTCCGATTACAATATTCTATATTGTCACGGACTCGAATAATCGTATATAGAGTCTTGGATACACAAAAGTGTATTTATATTCATTTGATTTTGGGAATTGATTTGCGAGATCTAGGAGAACATGATCTAAGTAATCACTAAAACTAGGAAGTAAACCTTATCGTCTGGTCACCTATTTTCACATAATCCTCTCAGATCATTCATCACCAAATTTAATCAAGAAATCTATAATCCATTTCGTTAGTACTGTAGAATTTTTTTTAATTGACTAGTTTCAACTGTATACATTAATGTGGATCTGTAAATCATTTATAGACGGTATCAACAATGTAAATTTAGAAACATTAAACAGTATAACAGAGTAAAAAGGAGTCTATTAATTTAAAACAATAACAAAAATTGATTTTAATCGCATCATGATATGGAGATTATTATTTATTTATTTATTTTCACAGTTGAATTCACGAGTCGATCTAAGCTAGGCTGTCCTCAGTGCTTCCAGGTTTCCAATGGTTACCTAACTTAGATCGACTCGTGAATTCAACTGCGAAAATGCTACAATCTCCACATGTCCCCATACTGATAACAATCATGTTCTCACTAGTGACTAGCTTCAAGATCAATGAGTGATCGGTGGAGTCCAATCCGTGTCATTTGTGAGACAGTTATCCACCTGGGACAATGGCTGAAGGTTTGTGCAAGATCACAGATCTATTGAAGTGGTCTAAAGGTTAAGTGTTGGCACGTGAGACCGGAGGTCCTGGGTTCGAACCACGCGTGTGGGGTCGAGGATGCTCACTTCTAAGTAGTTCCATACCATAGCTAAACGATCGTTCAGTGTTTCCAGGCTTTCAATAGTGGTCTAGAATAAATTGACTCGTGAATCGAACTGTTTGTACTCGTAAATGAAATATTTATCAATTTTTTTTAATTGGTTCATTAAATGGATTAGATTTTGTATGATCTTATAATTGTCTAGTCTTCTTTGAGTACAAAATATACAAAGAAGATTCGATGTAAGTATTTAATGGTAGATACCTTCAGAAACATTGGTAATGTATGTTGGAACTAGTTAGGGATCATTACAGTCAGTAGTTAGCGTCAACCACAAGTTAGGAAAAGCAAGTTAATTATTTAAACCTAGTAACCTTTTCTCAACTCATTTGTTTAGGGCATATATTATGTATGCCTAACTTCACCATCTAGACTGACAAGAGTACGTATTTATAATCATCTAGAAGTGGAAGAATTAAGATGTTATTGAATCATTAGTTTAATGACCCCCTGTTTGCGCCATATTTGTAGATCTAGGTTTATAAGTTCAGGTTTACGAGATGGATTGTAAAGGGTTTGTTACTTCACATCTGATTAACCACTAAGTGGTGATCAATGCCATGATATATCAAATCCTTCTTAGTTCTGATTTAATTCTATCGATCAAATTACAGTATATCCACTAGTCTAAGTCGGCTCAATACCGTGTGTATTATGTTGTGATGTAAGATGTTGGTTATAGGTAGACGACAGGAAACCCCACCTCCAGATTCTGTGTGTTATTGTTCAACACTAATCTTCATTAACAAAGAAACTCATATTTCAATAAAACATAAATATACTACATTTTACTCTCAATGGAACTAATTGTTTTTTTCTTCATTTTCTATTTTACTTTTCAACTAATTAATAGAATTCAACCACACATGAGAATAACGACAATGTCGTTGATTATCATCTTCAAACAATTCAAACGCCTATTACTACTACTACTACTAGTACTATTGTTAATCAACATTCATCATCATCGTCACTGCCGTTTACAATTCATAATGATGAAACCAATGAAGATAATATTATTATATCATCAATATTTACTGAAGATAATTTATTCACTGACTCTGCTTTAATGATGACATCAAGTTTTCACTCAACAAAAACAACCTTTTCCAATAGTATTAATAGTAGTAATGATAATACTACTAATGATAATAATAGTAATAATAATAATAATAATACATCTTCATTGCAAATGCATACACCTTTCATTTCAATGCATAATCAAAGTCGATCAATGTCTTCAAGTAATCTATGTGACTTAACAAATGCTACTGACATTTGTGGTAGTGAAAGTACAACAACACAATATGATTCAATGATATACGATGATGGTAAATTTTTTTTACATTTTAATTAAAATTCATATTCTCCAATATAATATGAATTGTATTGTAATGATCTTTAGTTTAATTTGTATTCATTGTTATATATACATTATAGATTTGATCTTCACTGAAAGAGTGTTATTAAAAACTAGTAAGTTGGTTTATTCTTAGTATTTAGAGCTTCTCGGCAATGTCCACTTTATTTACAGCTCCATTCGTAGTCGAACCCGAAATTTCCATGTTTTGATCAGTGAATGATATTAAGTTAACATCCAACTAGTTGACTACTGATTTTATGATGGTAAATTAGGCTTGTGATTCGAATTAATTGGAATAGTGTGTTTATAGAACTTTCTTCAATAATTTGTCAATTGTATGGTGTTTTTCATAGTTGAAATCATGAGTCAATTGAATCTAGACCACCATGGAAAACCTGGAAGCACTGGATGGCCAATTCGTCCTATTATGGGACTCTTCAGCAGTGCGTATCCACGATCTAGCCTCGCGAGATTCGAATTCAGAACCTACCAGTCTCGCTCCAGAGCAATTAACATTTAGACCACTGAGCCGACCGGCATCCAACGGTGTTAATTGTATGGTGAACTAGATAAAATGACTCGTTATCATCTCGCTTTATTGTTGATGATAGGTTGTAGTAGATTGTGAGCCGGTCATATTTTATGGTTGATGATTGAAGGAATATGAAAAAAGAGTTATCTTTTTTTGAATGACCTATCACTTCATTTTGTGGAATACGCACTTTTAGAATTTAATTCAAGTCTAGACCATTTGATTGGATCTTCGAATACTACTTTTCACGCTTATATTGATATGGGTAACTGAGTAGTGTATCACTAAACATACTGCAGCTGCTGTTCTGATGTGGTGGTCAGGATGGCATATCGTGATGACATTGAGACTAAAGTCAGCAACTTAAAGATCCAAAATTGAAGTCATGCCGCTGACTGTTCAGAGGTGTGACGGTGATTAGATGTTCTGAAACAGTCGACATATTTAGAGACAATGATTTCCAATAAGAGAAAGAAGAGGCTAGAACATATCGTCTGTGAAAACAGTATACCTTACTCTATCTAATGAGTTTTTGTCACCACTGGTATTATCTGAATAGTTCGGATTTAGCTCATCTAGAAGTACTCACAAAAAGGCCATATGTAATTGACCTCAAGAAGTTGTTTATAGGACCATGCAACTACTCCCCAAGGTCATCAAGACCCACTTGTAATTCACCTTCTCTTTTGAGGTAATCCAAGCAGAAGCATCTCTTAACGCTATGGGCAATTGGAAATCAACAACTGCCGTAATATCTCTAGTAGCAGTCAAGATTATATCTTCTTACTAAACCTTATACATATAAACATTCAATAAATAGTGTGATACAATGTCATATACTCAAATTCGTATTTTAGTATGATTCCAGTTACTGCCTGATAACCCTTCTTCTTTGGTGAGAGTAAATTGTCATCTTCAGTTTATTTCTGTTTTTTAACGAACTAATCCTTCTAATCTTGTTTTGTTTTTCTCTACAACATACATATTCATTCTTTTTTTCTCTCTCTCTCTCTCTATGTATACAATACAATGATACACAAGATGTAAAAACTTCTCGTGATGTTCTCCTTCTACCATCATCATCATCATTACCGGAAGTAAAATTACACGAATTAATTGAAAAACAAAATCAAATTACATCATTTACATTATTAGATCATAATTGTTTCAAATGTCGTTTAAAACGTATTCATCAAGAATATATTCAATTACTTCAAGAAAGTTTAAAATTAATCAATAATAGTAATGATAATGATCATTGTCATGGTGATGTTGATCATTATCAATTAAAACGAAATACTTCTGAAACTGTAATTGATGATGATAATGATAATAAATCATCAAGAATTACAACAAATGAAATCAAACAGTCTAAATCACCAATTTCATTAGATGCAATACAATTGAAATGTCTTTTCAATGTAAGTTTTAGTATTATCTTTGATAAATAATGATCTTTGTTATCTTTGTTATAAAATTTATTCTTGGGTTGGAATCTCGCGAGGCGGGATCATGGATACGCGCTGCTGAGGAGTCCCATAATAGGACGGAACTCCGTGCAGTGCTTTCAGGTTTTCCATGGTGGTCTAACTTCAATTGATTCTTGATATCAACTATCAAGATTACTATAATATCCATAAAACTTCTGATAATTTTAGATTTGTTAAAAATAATTGTATATACATACTCACCCTGGATGGTGAGCGGATTGAAGTATTTGAGAAGTTCGTGTATCTAGGTAGCTATATAAGTGCTGGTGGTGGCGTAAGTGATGAGATTGATGCACGTATAATGAAAGCCAGAACGGCTTATGCCACTCTGGCCATCTTTGGCGTCTTCGTGATGTTAGTCTGGCTGTAAAAGGTCGAATCTACAACGCGTCGGTGAGAGCAGTTTCGCTCTATGCTTGTGAAACCTGGCCTCTCCGAGTTGAGGATGTTAGACGTCTCTCTGTGTTCGATCATCGTTGTCTCCGAAGAATTGCTGACATTCAGTGGCAACACCATGTTAGTAATGCAGAGGTTCGGCATCGTGTGTTCGGGCGCAGAGATGATAATTCAATTGGTGTCACCATCTTGAAACACCGACTTCGGTGGCTTGGACATGTTTTACGAATGTCGTCCCAGAGACTTCCACGTCGTGCATTATTTGCCGACTCTAGGACTGGTTGGAAAAAGCGGAGAGGAGGTCAGTGTATGACATGGTGTCGTGGCATGAAAGAAAGCTGCAAAGGGCTAGCTTCTGTTGGTCCTTCACGACTCTCTGGCTGGGGTCCGAGAGATGGTGCAACACAGTGGCTAGAGACGTTATCAGATATGGCTCAGAATAGAAGCCAGTGGCGATCCTGCTGTAACCTTCTTTTACTTTCTACATAGAGAATGGTTCTAACTTTCTTAACTGAAAGAGTCTTCTGGTTGTACATTTCAGTCCGCCTTATCTTTTCATCCTTTCCCTTCCTACTTTCATTATTTTGTGTGGCGCTTATGTACCTGGTGCCCTTTTGTACCAATATATATGTGTTTAAATAAATAAATAAATAACTACTGGACAACTACGTCTTTTTTTTTAGGTATTCTACAAAAGTTCAACACTAATCATCTCACAAAAGGGATCAAACTCATGAACTTTAGTGTTTGTTTGTTTAGTGTAAGGTTCATTAACCACGCTTTCGTACTATTTTATTTTCGGTTAGGACTAGTAATAATTCTTGGAAATGCCCTCTATGTGGAGTTTCGTGAACTTTAGCAGTCGTATATAAAAAGTTATACCTGTAGATTGAATTAATTGTGACTAATTTTTATAATCATCGATGTCTTCGTTGTCTCTTATTATCAACCTGGTTGACTTTACAAATTACAACTTCTGGCACACAAATAAATGTTTAAAATTTCATCTCGAAGCTAATCTAAATGAAGCCAGAACAAATATTGATGCAGAATAATATGAATTCATTATATTTCGTAGTTTCTCGTCAGCTACTTACATTCAGATATTAAAAAAGTATGGTTATAATTGATAACTATGTGCAAAAAAAAAAAAAACTCCGCCTGTAGCTCCTCCAGGGGCTACTGCCGGTCCCAAGCCCGGGTAAAGGAGGAGGGTTGGGCATGGGGTTAGCGACCCCATCCCGTAGAAAATCAACTCGCTAAAAAAACGCTAACCAGAAAAAATCATTCAAACCATTCAAACTCTGCCCTGGGAGTAGAAGGAAAAATGACGTCTCATGATGAAAGCCGAGTTCATTCGGAAGTCATGAGGCCGATGCACCTTCTTACAACCAGAGCGACAATTTTTATAGGTACATGGAATGTCCGGACAATGTGGGAGACCGGCAGAGTCTTCCAAATTTCTGCGGAAATGAGGAAATACAACCTGGAAGTGCTTGGAATCAGTGAAACACATTGGACGCAGGTTGGACAACAACGACTGTCTTCAGGGGAACTTCTGTTATACTCCGGTCATGAAGAAGAAAATGCCCCACATACACAAGGAGTGGCACTAATGCTGTCTAGAAAAGCACAAAATGCACTTATAGGATGGGAATCTCATGGACCGAGGATCATCAAAGCCTCCTTCAGAACAAAGAGAGAGGGCATTACAATGAACATCATCCAATGCTATGCGCCGACCAACGACTACGATGAAGACGCTAAAAACCAATTCTACGATAGGCTGCAGTCAATCTTCGAGAAGTGCCCAACCAAGGACCTGACCATTCTGATGGGAGATTTCAATGCCAAGGTTGGAAAGGACAACACTGGATACGAAGACGTCATGGGACAATATGGACTGGGAGGAAGGAACGAAAACGGTGAGAGATTTGCAAACCTATGTGCCTTCAATAAACTTGTCATAGGTGGCACCATATTCCCACACAAAAACATACACAAAGCCACTTGGATTTCACCGGATCACACTACACAAAATCAAATCGACCATGTCTGCATCAACAAAAAGTTCAGGAGGACGATGGAGGATGTGAGAACCAGAAGAGGAGCTGATATAGCATCCGATCACCATTTGCTGGTCGCCAAGATGAAACTAAAACTCAAGAAGCACTGGACAATGGTGCGGACAACATCACAAAAGTTTAACACGGCCTTTCTTCGAGATGCTGACAAACTCAACGAATTTAACATAGCCCTCAGCAACAGGTTCGAGGCCTTTCATGACCTACTCAATGGAGAGGGAACCACCATAGAGAGCAGCTGGAAAGGTATCAAGGAGGCAATCGTTTCAACATGTCAGGAGGTTCTGGGCCAAAAGAAGCACCATCACAAGGAATGAATCACTGTTGGTACACTGGATAAAATTGAAGCAAGGAGGAACAAGAAGGCAGCATTCAACACCAGCCGAACCAGAGCGGAAAAAGCCAAGGCACAAGCCGAATACACAGAGGCAAACAAGCAAGTGAAGAGGAGCATCAGAACCGACAAACGTAAATATGTTGAAGATTTAGCAACGACAGCGTAAAAGGCTGCAAGTTAGGGAAACATGAGACAATTGTATGATACAACAAAGAAACTTGCTGGAAATTACCGTCAACCAGAAAGACCAGTGAAAAACAAGGAAGGCAAAGTAATCAACGATATTGAAGAACAACGAAACAGGTGGGTAGAACACTTCAAGGAACTCTTGAATCGACCAGCTCCACTGAACCCACCCAACATCGAAGCAGCACCCACAGACCTCCCAATCGATATTGGCCCACCAGCAATTGAAGAGATCAGCATGGCCATTAGACAAATCAAGAGTGGCAAAGCAGCGGGACCAGACAACATCCCGGCAGAGGCACTGAAAGCAAATGTAACAACAACTGCCAAGATACTCCACATCCTCTTCGGTAAGATTTGGGACGAAGAACATGTACCAACAGACTGGAAAGAAGGACTTCTGATGAAGATACCAAAGAAAGGCGATCTGAGCAAGTGCGACAACTACAGGGGCATCACTCTCCTCTCAATACCATGAAAAGTCTTCAACAGAGTATTGTTAAACAGGATGAAGGATTCCGTGGACGCCCAACTTCGAGATCAACAAGCTGGATTTCGTAAGGATAGATCGTGCACAGATCAAATCGCAACTCTACGTATCATTGTGGAACAATCAATCGAATGGAATTCATCACTGTACATCAACTTCATCGACTACGAGAAGGCATTTGATATCGTGGACAGGACGACACTATGGAAGCTTCTTCGATACTACGGCGTGCCTGAGAAGATAGTCAACATCATACGGAACTCCTATGATGGACTAAACTGCCAAATCGTCCACGGAGGACAACTCACCGACTCGTTCGAGGTAAAGACCGGTGTTAGGCAAGGTTGCCTACTCTCACCGTTTCTCTTTCTCCTGGTGATCGATTGGATCATGAAGACGTCAACATCTGGAGGAAATCACGGGATACAGTGGACAGGCAGGATGCAGCTTGACGATTTAGACTTCGCGGATGATCTGGCTCTTCTATCACGAACGCAACAACAAATGCAGGAGAAAACGACCAGTGTAGCAGCAGCCTCAGCAGCAGTAGGTCTCAATATAAACAAAGGGAAAAGCAAGACTCTCCGATACAATACAATATGCACCAATCCAATTACACTTGACGGAGAAGCTTTGAAGGATGTGGAAATCTTTACATATCTGGGCAGCATCATTGATGAACACGGTGGATCAGATGCAGATGTGAGGGCGCGGATCGGCAAAGCAAGAGCAGCATACCTACAGTTGAAAAACATCTGGAGCTCAAAACAATTGTCAACCAACACCAAGGTTAGAATTTTCAATACAAATGTCAAGACAGTTCTTCTGTATGGGGCAGAGACGTGGAGAACTACGAAAGCCATTATCCAGAAGATACAAGTGTTTATTAACAGCTGTCTACGCAAGATACTTCGGATCCGATGGCCAGACACTATCAGCAACAAGTTACTGTGGGAGACAACAAACCAGATTCCAGCGGAGGAAGAAATCAGGAAGAAGCGCTGGAAGTGGATTGGGCACACTTTGAGGAAATCACCCAATTGTGTCACAAGACAAGCCCTCACATGGAATCCTGAAGGTCGAAGGAGAAGAGGAAGACCAAAGAACACATTACGCCGAGAAATAGAGACAGACATGAGAAGAATGAACAAGAACTGGAAAGAACTAGAAAAGAAGGCCCAGGACAGAGTGGGTTGGAGAAAGCTGGTCGGCGGCCTATGCTCCATTGGGAGTAACAGGCGAAAGTAAGTAAGTAAGTAATGTGCAAAAAAAGGTCAGAGGTTATTAGGTGTTAGAATCAAGGAAACATTAATGATGGGTGGTGTAATAGTTGAGTGGAGTTCACAGACAGGTAAGATAAATTGTGTGATAATTTTAGATAATTTCTAGGCCCGATTCTTGCTGATCTCTTCTTAGCTAAGCTAGAAAATGGCCCACTTAAGGAGGCTATTAAGAAACTCGATCTATACTGCCGCTACATCGACGATACATTCATAGTCGTGGATCAGAACACCAGTAAGGATGAACTACTAGAACAGTTCAACAGTGTACATCCAGCGATTAGCTTCACTTGTGAAGGTGAATGTGACATGAAGCTGAATTTCCTTGACGTTACACTAAGCAGGCGAAGTGATGGCTCGTTAAGTAGAAGCGTGTATAGAAAAAGACCCTCTGCCTGCCAATACACTCACTTCTATAGCTTTACACCTATCCAATATAAGAGAAACTTGGTTAAATGCCTCACTAGTAGAGCAAATAAGATCTGTTCTGTTGATACTTTAAGTCAGGAACTGGAATTTATCTATAACTCACTGACTGAGATCGGCTACCCTGCTGCGTTCATCAAAAAGTACATGTATGATACAAGGAAGAAATCGGAGATTTTAACTGTTCGTAAGAAGCCTCTATACATAAAATTACCATTCAACGGGGATGTAGCTAGTGAAACTCTGAAAGATAGGTTAACAAAAGTAATTAGTAGAACTTTCTACGCAGCCTATCTTGCATTGACTTTCTCGAGTCGACCAGTGATGTCTACTCAAACGAAGGATAAGTTACCTGAGTTGGCCTCCTCCATGTGCATTTATAAGTTCAGCTGCTCCTGTGGAGATAGCTATATCGGGCGTACTACTAGGCAACTTAACCAACGAATGAGTGAACATCTACCAGCATGGTTTGGAAAGGGACAATAAAAACAATACGCAGTTCTATCTTGGCACATCTAATTGATAGTGGTCATACTGTTGATAAATTGAAATCATTTCAAGTGATCTATCGTATACCTCCATCGTTTCCCAACGGAGTTCGCTCCCGTCTACTTCATATAGCAGAAGCCATAGGGATTTGTACATTCCATCCCAATTTATGTGTACAGAAGAAATTCGTAACCCCCCTATCCCTTCCATGGCCGGACATAACTTAATAATTGACATTATTATTATTTGTAAAATTTTTTTTTTTTGGTTATCATTTTTTGTTTGCTTGTAATTTTCTACCTCTTTCCGTTTGTATTCTTCACTATCTATTTACTTACATACTTCTTATTACGTAATGATTTTAATGTTTTGTGATTACTATTCCAGACTATTTACCCACGTTTGACCTCTTAATTCTCAATGTTTAATTATTGATAAGACTTTTGTTATCGTAATTTACTATTCTTACTACTATCAGTACACCTGTCTTCCCACTATCAACTTGTACTTTTAACTATTATTATGCTTGGTAACGTATTTCTATTTCATTGTGATTATTATTGACTCAAATAGCCTTGATTGGTCTAACATTTTCATATAAATATTCATGTATATTAGATATTTTTCAAATGAAGTATTTACTGTATGGTTCTCAGATTTAAGTAAGATATTCTGTGTAGTGTATTAAAATACACTTGAATGTCTCACTTGTGTTCTCGTTCACCACACCATGTGTACCATAAACTACGCTGATATGTTATTTTGTAATTGACATATTGGGTTTGGATCCCGTAAGGAACGCCAACTCTGCGATTCAGGTGCATCCAGCCGACCAGTCCCAAATAGGACAAAACTCACATCCTGCATTCCACTGCTAGTCACATGCCATCTGTATTGTATCAACTTTTGTCATAATGGCTATATCCAAGCAATTCGCATATACACTAACCAAGACTGGTCAAATTTCAATAAGAAATATCAACATCGGAACAATCCAAATGATTTCAAATTGAATTCAAGTATTTAGACAAAGTTATGTTAACAGAATATTACAAAGTATTCCGAAATTATTTTCCATGATATGTCAATTCTCACTCTAATCAAATCATGTGATCGAACTTAGTTGGTTGCTTAATGGGCTCTGATGACATTGTATTGTATTTTCAGCATTTTTGTCTACTCAGAATATAGTCATTGTTTGCTTTTATTCGCTCTCTCTCACCCATATACACCTATTCCTATTTTTCTGTTTATTTATCCTCCCTTAAGTATGGCCACTTGGTGTCTTGAACGTATTGTTTATAACTACTTCTACGTTTTTGATGATGGTTGTAGTAGCTCTCCAAGTTTGAAATTACTCACCAGTGAACATAAAATTATCATTACCATTTTATTAAGGTGTTTATGAAGCTTTTGCGTTGTGAATATTCACTATGAACTGAATTCATTTAAAATAAATTATAAAGACCAAGATTGTACTATATTGCTGTTTCATTTAATAATGACTGTCAGATCATGACGAGATGGGGAAGCTTGTAAATAATTTATCTTGTATCAATACTGTAGATTACAGATTTGAAACTCAAATAGAACAATCATTCTAAATAGATTTGACTTAATTGAATATAATATGTTCTTGATATATATATTGTGCACATTGAAAGTAAAACTCAGCACTATTCAATTGAAATCCTTCCATAGTTTATCCATTGTTTAATATGTAAGATCGTATTTGTAAATATTTATATTTTATTGGGATTGAAAATTCACGATCGTTCAACAATATACCAGACATTTATAACTATACTCTTATCAGAAGTTGGATTGAAATGTACATTCAACCGCCACACACATACACACATGTCATCATCTTCATTACTAATTACCATCCACCTTTACCAATAACAATAACAACAAAAAACAATTCATGAAATTTGAATAATACAATGGAAAGACAAAGGTTATCTGAATTATGTTATTTATTTATATGCACACTACATTTCGAACAATCTGATCATATATGTACTTGTTAATACATTTGATATATGGAAAAAAAAAATAAAAGGTCAATTAAACAAATTAAAATGTAAACTGAAACAAAGATAAAGTACACAAGAACAATGTAAAAATCACGATGGTTAATAAATCAATATTATCAGGATAGGTTAACAAGTACATGTATGATCAGATTATTCCAAATGTACAGCGTCAATATATCATATAATTCTGATAACCTTCGTCTTATCGTAATAACATCATGACTTGAATTCGTAAAATCTCAGCGAATGAATTTGAAGGGAATTTCCTTGTAAAAGTTTGGACCAGATTGCCAGGCGAAACGTTGGATTTACTTCAAATTCATTCGCTGAGATTTAACAAATGTATTCTTCCTATTTAATGTTTTACATCAACTCAGCTCCCAAATACTATGGAACTAGTCGCTCTAATTTAGACGAAAGTTCTTATATACTTACTTGAATTAATTCAGTGAAATGTAGTCTAAGTGATTAAAGACTGTGGAAATGTTAAATTTCATTCAGATATTTTTTCTCTTCCGATCGGTATTATTTCACAACAGTTTTCAATTGTATTCACTGTTGACTGATATACGAAGAAATGTGGATGAAAATAAGCACAACTGAAAATATCACAACCAATATATGGTTTCATTTCTTGTTGTGATTCATAGGATAATCAGTCTATACTTTGTTAAAAAAAGTATAGACGGTTAGTATTTACTTATCATCACTGCACTGTTTATTCAATCATTGAAAGAGATTCAAGATCATCTTCCCTGGGTGCGTGCTTGAGAGTTTGGACATTTACTGTCCAATGCTTTCCAGTTTACAGTGATTCTCTATATAATTTCTGTATCCATGACGAGAACTATGTTTAAATTGCATCCATCTCTTCATATGCTTTTGTTCAGTATCATAGACATATACATCTAGCAGTAATGATTAACTGTAAGGTAAATCCCACTAGTTTCAGTGTGAGTCCTAGTCCTAAACTTCTCAATTCTCTCTCATTTCAATGGTTCTCTAGCAAGTGATCAGTCTTTACAGAAGTCATATTCGAAGTTTACTTGGAAAAAAGATATTGTGTAATCTAATGAATGAAACGGTTTTCTAATGATTTTATTAGTTCGTAGTTGTACGGAGCATGGGTCGCCCACCAACACTCTCCATCCAACCCTGTCTTGGTCAACGCTTTCGAGTTGCTATTCATCCTTTAAATGCCTGCTTCCGAATCCCGACGTAGTGTGTTCTTTGGTCTTCCTCTTTTCCGTTTACCTTTAGGATTTCAAGTTGGCGTTTGCTTCGTGTTGCGAGGCAAGCCAAAATGCCTTGTAATTTTGTATGAGAATACGACCTGAGAATACGTGCTGAGAATTCTATATTGTACCAGATTATAATATTGAATAAAGCCATTAATAATAATAACGACTGGTTGTCCCCACCTGTGTTCTTGTTCATTACATCTGGTGTCGCTGTCAAAGGGGAACCGGGAATAGTTCGTTTTGGTAGATGCCGTTTTTGGGCAGGGAGAGGAGGCGCTAGTTGGGGCGATCTGGTGCGATGTGACGTTGAGTGTGTCGTTCTCACTAAGTGATATTAACCGTAGCAGTTTCTGTCGAGGGAAAGGAGCAATGTAGTGTGTGGCGGCTGGGTGGGCATCGGATTTTAACGACTCGGAAGATCGACGGACCTACGAAGGTCAGCGCGCTGCTCCGCAGACTCAACGTTTTGACAGGGAGCGTGACACGGACTGCAGTAAGGAAGGAAGTGGTACGGCGAGCAGAACGACTGTTTAAAGGCGAGTTGAGAGGGGTCTAGGAGATTCTGTAATAGCGTATTAAAATACAAATGGTTGTCTTCACTTCTGTTCTCGTTCATGATACTACTACTGGTCGAACCCTATCGATCAAGTAACGGTGTGGCCAGCTAGACCTAATTTAATTTCATGTACATTATGATTATTGACATGTTAGGTTATTGATGGGATACTCTGCCTTGACCTTTTTTTAAAGCTAAATTAATGATCTCCAACCGCTCGACAAGTAGACTTCCTTTTACTTGACTGTCAGTAATGAAAAAAATTGAATCTAATTAGTATCTCTATTTTTCTAAAAATGCTTTCTTTTTTTTGTTGTCTTCCCTCTTGTCCTCATATTCATTTGTAATAATAAAAGGTGTTGGAATCATGTTCATTATTATTTTTAAAATCCAAACACATATCATGTGAATCATCTCATCCTGTTTGTATGGAGTTAAACACAACAACATCAAATAGTAATGATACTTGTTTAAATATTCCGCAACCAGATTTATCTACGATATTGAGGCAAGAGACTATTGAGAGTTTAATTGACAACGACTCAGCAGCAAAAGAAGTGAGTTGTTTATTGTTTTTCTTTTTATTGGATATATATGAATAGATCGAATTATTCAGTGTTATTTTTAATAATACAAAATAGTTTGACATTTTCTACTTTTCCTTTATCTTACAATTTGTTTTTAACTCCTTTCTCTGCTTCAATTTATCCAATTGAGTATAATCATTTCGTTAGCAATTGTTCCATTATTTATAAAACAAACATGCGAATCTGTATAGATCTCTTGTATACATCAATAACTTATATTACTTACTTATGCCTGTTACCCCTTGTGGAGGAGCATAGGCCACACCGGCATTCTCCATCGACCTATGTCCTGGTTAATCCTTTGCAGTTGTTTCCAGTTGCCATTCATAAGAATATATATATGCTTAAATCATAGAGCAAATTTGATCTATTACAGTGAATGACTAGAAAAACGTTTCAGTTCACATCTACCTTAAATTGTTCCATGTCTATTAAGTGACCACTTATAGAGTTGATTTCCGTGACCTCAACTGTCATTTAGTTTAAGAGTTTTGGAATTGAGCAATATTTTGACTAAATGTATTTTTAATGAATTAAAGTATAAGGCTTATTGTTGACTGAATTTTGACCAGTCTTTGTGAAAAAAAAGTGTGTACATCATATGTCGATTACCTCGATATATATTCATTTAATCGCGAGAGGTTTTAGAATAGATGTATTTTGGTTAACAGTGGAACCTAGGATGGAGCTCGTCAGCTAGATGTGCTTACTGAATTTTGATTCGTAAAGATCCCATACCCGTTGTACAAGTAATTTGGGGTTTCGATGGACGTTTGGAATGGGCAGTATTTACGTCGGGGTGCAGTTCGAATACTAACACAGATGCTAGGTCTAACTTCGAAAAAACTTGTTTTCCGTGTAGGTTTAAAGAAAAGTCGTGTAAATGAGGGATAGGATACCTGTCTGGAATAGTCTGATTATTCAAACGACGCCAGTCTTGCTCTTTTTTCGGGACCATATGTAGCGGAGAAGCCTAGGGGCTGCTAGACTGCCTGATGATGCCAAGTTGCATCATGTGTTCGAACTCTCGTTTGGCGATCGCTAACTTGTGAGAGGGCAGTCTTCTGGGTTTTGTACGTACTGGTTGGCCTGTGATAGTGATATGGTGTTGAACGTGATGAACGGTGCATTCGTTTTGATAGTGGATTCTCGTGTTTGTGTGTGTGTGTTTTTGTTAATGTTTTTTGTCAATGAGTTTCTTTTTACGCATGTCAACTAATAGGTTGTGAGCGCTGAGGAAGTCGGCTCCGAGGATGGGTTGTTTGACTTGAGCTACAATAAACACCCATGTGAAACTTCTACGGAGATTGAAGTCTAATATAAGTGATTGCTCACCGTAAGTTTTGATGATGGTGTTGTTGGCTACAACAAGGGATAGTTTAAAGGACTCTGAGTGCCGTCGTCGTGAGAGATGAAACGGGAGGATGCTGATTTCTGCTCCTGTATCGGCCAAGAAGTCCGAGCCAGAAATACGATCCCGGATGTAGAAAAGACGGCTTGTTGTGAGGCCAGAAACAGGCGCCACCATCACTGTCTGGCCGGGCCGTTTCCCTGATTCGTCGAGTCAGTCAAAGAAAATGCGCACGATCGAGTGCAACGACGTGCCTTAGTTCCGTATTCGTTATGATGCCAACATACATCAGAGTTCTGCTTAGGTGAACACGAACGCCGTCTAGATAAAGATCTTCGTCTAGAAGAGGGTTCAAGCTGTCTAGCTTGAACTGATGCTACTGTGGTCTAGAGCGACGCAAGTTGATTCGTTAAGTGTGCTGTCTTTGCAAAGAAACTAAATAACTTTTATCAGATGTTCCAGCGAATTATGTAGAGTTTATGTAATGGCTATCATGATAAGTTTCCAACATTTTATCAGCTATATCTGCTAAATCAACAAGACTAACTGAATTTCTGGATATACTGAGGATTTGCCTTACATTATGTGGAAGGCGTTGAAGCCACATTTGCTTAAGTAATGCCTCATCTATTTTATAAGGACCTGCTAGTCGTTTCATGTATCTTAACAGCTGTGATGGTTTCTCGTCTCCTAAGTCGCAGGACGTTAATAATTGCTGGAGTCTTTTTTCGTCGGAGACAGAGGTACGTTGAATTACTTCAGCCTTTATCTTTTCGTATGGTTCATTCTCAGGCACGTGGTCTATTAAGTCCCCAACTTCAGCAGCAATTTCAATGTGGAGAGCGCCAAAAACATGAGCATACTTTGTTGCCTGTGAACGTATGCCTCTGGCCATGAATAAAGCTCCAATTTGCGCGAACCAGACTCTTGGATTGTTTGCCCCATATGTCGGGAGTCTAAATTCAGTAATAGCATTGATAGAGCTTAAAATGTTATCGGGAGGATTTGATGGTGAATTAGTAGTTGTTACTGGAGGGAGGATCCATATCAATATGTTTAGGCGGTGAGTACATTACGTGAAAAATAAACGGATGAATCGTTTAAAGAAAACAAATAAACAATACAAAATGAGAATAAACACTAGGCTCACCAAATAATTGTGGCGGACCAAAACGTATGTTAACCAAAAATAGCAATAAAAAAATATTACGTCGAAAGTTTATGTAACAATAAACAGTTAATAAGTTAAATACACAGATAAAAGTTAGGGATGTTACTTAAGTCTGCTGGCTGTTGCGTGTTCAGTTGGATTTGGTACCAGTAATCCACAATTATGGAAGATTAATGATTCCAATATGAACGATTTGGCCCCAGTAAGTTCACCAAGCGTAGAATGTAATAAGAGCGTCACAATAGTCTATAAACGTAGATGATATTCGATTGATGATTCATTTAACATAATAGAACGATGCATGTGTGTGTTAGAATGTATTTAGTGAGGAGTAGTTAAAACGTCGTGATATGGTGTATTTGAAACGGAAGGAAGTCAATTAACATGTGTTCAAGGTCATAAACTTAAGCAACAAGTACAACTGTTTAGTGTTAAATGTACAGAATATGAAAATACCCAAAATAGATGTAAAAACTATGAAAAATTGTTTACAAAATAGGTTTTATAGTCCTATCTCCACACCTTTTATCTTGCACGCGAACACAGTGTTTAGAACACTGATCCGGCATCTAACGTTGTTAATGTTTAACTTACACTCCAATTGATCTGTGATCTTGCACAACCCATCATCCATTGTCTGAAATGGATAACTGTCTCACACCCGTGAATTCAACTATGAAAATATTACAGTCTTTACAAATCCCTATGCTGATAATTATTTATTTATGTTTAAGTTAAATCGACTTTAGTTAGCGGGATAGTATTAGTTATCAGTTTATAAATTGTCAACAATTGTTAATTATAATAGTTTGAATCTTTTGAATCATAATGGTTAAAAGTTAAGTGCCTTAGCTATAGAAAAAACTATTATTTTTCACTTTACTTACGGTTACTAACATTCGATTCCAATAGTCATATCACATATGAATTAATAATGTATGTTTGAATGTTCATCACTATGTAAGGGAGTTTTCATTTTGTCCTAAGTATTGGACATTCCACTCCCCCCCTTTTATTTGAATTAGCTCCATTCTCTCTTTCCTTTTCTTTGGTCAAAAACAGAGATATATAGATATATAATTCACCGGGTCTATCAAGCTTTTCCTTTCCATTAAACGTAACATTATTTAAGGGCTTTGACTCGAGACTGGTAGGTCCTGGGTTCGAATCTCGCGAGAGCGGGTTCGTGGATGAGCACTGCTGAGGAGTACCATAATAGGACGAAACGGCCATCCAGTGTTTCCAGGTTTTCCATGGTGGTCTAGCTTCAATTGACTCATGCTTTCTAATATGTAACATTATTTATTTAGTTAATTGAATTGCTCATTTGTGTGATAAAATGAAAATGACGTACGCTATAGTGACTATCGTCATATGATGTTTAAATCATAGTAATAATCAGAAATATGATTGAAGTTATATGAAGGAAAAATTAATCTATCAAACATGTGATATTATACAATTTGCATCACGAATTGACTTTGTTTAGTCAACCATTGAAAACTAGGAAGTACTGAACAAATATTTCGTTCTAGTATGGAAATAAACAACAACTTTTGTTCACCACCCCAGCCAAAGTGGAACCTGAGATGTTCAGGCTTCGTGACCAGTTCTTTACCTTCAAATCGCTGGTTGGACATCCGTTCGTTTTCATTTTTAATTTCAATAACTTTATAATGTTACACAGTAGCTATCTTCCAATGTCATTGGTCAGTAACTGACTGCCCCATACCCGACATGAATCAACGTGCGGTCTGCCATTTGAACTCTGGGGTGGAATTATCCATCAAAATTAGTCACTAGTGAGCATATGATTATAATTTTTATGAAGGTTTTGTAGTGGTTATTTGACTTTATAGTTTACATCACGAACTGACCTTATTCAGACAGCCATTAAAATCAAAGAACCGATAAACCGGTATTTCTTCTTAGTATTATCGCTTCTTGTAAATTCGTTATTGAAATTATGAAATTAGACAATTACAACAAACCCTTTTACGTTAATAAAAAAATCTAATTGGAACATATTTTCTTATAGATTGTTTATGTGTGACTAAAATTGTATTTGTTTTTTCGGCGTATCATTATATCGGCTAGTGTGTTAACTGCGTTCAACCAAGTGATAATACAACGAACGATACAGCAGTATCCGATCAATTGGATTTCGGGCAGTCGCTACAATATCTTATGGAAACTTTACAATTAAACAGTAATATTAGTGTTAATCCGGTTACCACGGTTTCCATATCTACATCAACATCACCGTTGTCATCACAAATATTGCCGATTATCACTAGTAGTGGGTCAATTTTAACACAGACAGAAGTAATTCCAACCTTGGATATGGCTACATCAATAACGACTCCCAATAACATGTTCACCAAAGGTTGGTGTTCTTTGTAATATCTAATAGTAATTTAACTATTATGAATGTTATGTTTTGTAATGTTTACTGTTCGATGGGATTCGGTTGAACCTACAGTAATGTCTAATTATGAGCAACTGAAGTTTTTTTATATGTACTCGATAGTACGGTCATCGATACACACCCGCGCAATGTCTCAAGAATTATCAGTATAGGGTTGTGGCGGTTTTTGAATTTTACTGAGATCATGGACAGTTCTAAGTTAGATCAAAAATTGAAAATTAGGAAGCGCTGAGTGGTCGTCTGGTCGTGGTATGATACTTCTCAGGTGTGCGCATCCACGACCCAGCACGTATGAATCGAACCCAGCACCTTTGATCTCTTACGAGCGCTTAATCTCTAAATCACTGAGTTGTCATACAATGTTGTTTGTGTCTAACTCCATTTGATCCACGTTATTGTGCAACCATCTTTCATTGTCTTCACTAGGTGGTTGCCTCACACTACGCGGTTGAACTCCACTTGCCACGTCTTTTCACTGAGACTCTAAGAATTTTCTCTCTAAGTTAGTCACTAATGAATACATCATCGCCAATATAATGAAACTCCTGAAGAAGACAGAAGTGTAGAAAATGTTTTAATATTCCGACAGTCGAGAATTTCAAAGGTGAAAAAGAACGATTTTGTATATTTTATAGTAGTAACGAGGCATGATCGTGAGACTTGGGAAAATAAGCAAACTATTAATATTATCATTTAATCACAGAGAGAGATAGCAACAAATGTCATGCAAAAACATAACATTAGAAAAGATGTATTCGGTTTTATCGTTACACGAATGAAATTAACATTTATTCATGGAAAACTTAATAACTTGATGTCCATCTAGGATTCTTAACCTAGACTACTTAATATATTACTTATTAGTATATTTCATCATCAAGTTAGTAATTTATGTTTTCAGGTTAATTTGATGCGATCTGTCTATTTATGATATTGATCAGAGGGGGTTTTGTGGAGAATTTAGTATTTTCACAGTTGAAATCATGAATCAATTGAAGCTAGACCACCATAGAAAACCTGGAAGCACTGGATGGCCAATTCGTCCTATTATGGGACTCCTTAATTAACTTAGTGAATTTATTTATTGGAACGATTGGGATAAATAATTAAGCCATTTCATCTATTTCAATCTACTGTTCCTGATCTCTTTAAAATGTATAACTCATAGTTACTTATATGAACGTTAATTCATGGTCTCTGGGAGCAAGTGAGGTTGGATTCGAACCCATAGTTTTGTCCCTATATGGTGACTAATTTAGCAGAAAATGATGGCTAATATTCTTTTTTCCTGACTTGTATATATATATATATATATATATATATATATATAAGCTTGAATCTACCTTGGGAGCAACAGTTCCTTCAAGACTTCAGAAATGCTTTTCTGATGAGTCCAAACTAGCTCTGAAACACAGAGCCATTGTATCCAGTTTAGAGTAGAGTCATAAGATTGATCTAAACTCAATTGTTACGGTTTTTTATAAAAGCTGTCCAGTGTATAGATATAGATTTGTTGAAATCAGCTTAACCATACTAATGTTTAACCTCTTTATGTGTGTATGTGTATGTATTCAAGAACGTTTTGTGTTAACTTTAAAACGATTGTAAAGTGTATTTAGAAAAATACACACGAGATCTAGTAATATTAGACGTTGAGTTAATAGGGCTAATATTATTTGTCGCAACGCGTATGAAAAAACTTTAAGCTCAACAATGCATTGTAAAGACCAATGGTTTTCCATTTTATTTTCTGTAATAATGTTATTGTTACATACTGCCGAGGAGTCCCATACTAAGAGGAAATAGCTATCTAGTACTTCCTTGTTTTTTAATGGTTGTGTAACTAAGGTCAACTCGTGGTGTTTAGCATACTTTATGTTTTCCTGTTTGTGTTTTTATTTGTTGATGCCTGTAATCATTGAATTATCAGTTGTTACTGTTGCGTGCGTTTATGTGTTATATTTCTCTATTATTTCATATACTTTTCTTAGGTTCTGATTTTGAAGGTAGAACATCACCGATCTGTGTAAGTTTTCCATTTTTAAGGGTTTTCTTCTACCGATTTATCATCATTTATCGCATATTCAACATTCCAATTGTGCTCACCGTGCTCCAATATATTTTATGTTACCAATAACTTTCGTGAGCTGATTAAGTGTTTTAATTCTACACTACTAGAAACGTCCCACTTTCGACCTTTGAGTTACAAAACTACTTTAGTTATAATAGTTAACACTATTATTATTGTTATTATTACTAAGTGACTCTCCAAACTGAAGTTGATCAGGGTTCAAATCTATGGATAAATGGTTGAAAACGGAACGGTTAAAGCTATAGGTTAATGCTTCACTTCTTTGAACAAAGTAGAGAATAAGATATTATAAAAAATTAGTCCCTTTTTTAAATTTTGATAGAACAATCCGAAAATGACTTTGATCTAAAAATTGTGATGTATTTTCACCATATATTTCAAACAATCTTGTCGCAAATAGACTTGTCAAAGCATTTGTCCTGATAATCTTTAAGCTATTTTGTGGCCTAATGTAGTACAGCAATTTCCTATTCTTTCCATAGTAATTAAATCTGTTTTCTTTCTCTTATTTACAATTATCATTTAATGTCTATTTGGTCTTTTATTTAATTAACATTCATTAATTTTCATATATATTCTTGATTAGTATATGTGTGACTAGATTGTTCGAAATGTATGACGTAAATACACAACATTTTTGGATTAACTTCGTCTTCACATTGTTCCAGGAAAGAGAATAGGAGAAATACAAGCTCAACATGCTCATAGTCCTTGAATGAAGCAGTACTGCCTGTTGTGGAAAGATTTAATTCAGTTAATTGTTTGAGTCTAACCCTCGAAACGTCTAAAGTTATCATGAAGAATTCATAAATCATTTTAAAATGTTATGTACTATAGGGTTTTGAGAGAAAGAGAGAGGGACCCACAAACGCTTATTTGTTAGATTCCTTTCTAGTATTGATTAATAATAATAATATGCTGTTTGATTATTATGTTGTGTGTTTAATTCTGTTGAATAAAAAATCTAGGAGGTTTCAACGAATCTTACTTCTTCATTGATGAGTACTACTACTACTACTACTACTACTACTAATAATAATAATAATAATAATAATAATCCATTATCAACTATTTCTCGTTCAACTTCTCCAATATTACAACAGCAAAATCACAACAATGAACAGACTTGCAATCTTTCACTTGGATCTTCTTGCTTCACTAATATTTCATCAAAATCAACGAATGAACGTTTCACTAATTTTGTACATTCTAAGTGCGTTTTTCTTTCGTTATTCTTTTGTTGTTGTTTTTTTTGAAAAAATATTCTGCACTACATATTGATTAAATATGTGACATTTTCAATGTCTACAGTATATCGTAGTACCCAGCAGTTTCATTCATTTAGTGGATAATTGAATAAGTACTGGTTGTGAAAATTAGTATCAATAACTGAAGACATTAAAATGGTAGTTGTTTTGATCGATATACAGATCATAGTCAAAGGAAGTTAAACTAGTGAAGCGTAAGATCAATGATTGCAGATTATCATTATCTTATGGGAGGAAATCCGAAAGTTTTCACTTAAACCTTAAAATAAATCACTTTATATGCTAATTCGATTATTTTGTTTAGCTGCTCAACCTACCAATGTGCTAGCCAGCCGTAAGCGTCGATAGAGTACGCGTTGACCGGTCACTTTCTTTCATAGAAGATCTGAAATTTTATCGAACGATTGATTATTTCTATCTAGCACTATTCTTTTAAAGTCCACGATGACCGATTCAGCCACTGATAAACACGCTTCATATACGCTTATTAAAGCATCAATGACAGTGAGAATACAAAGTAATGTTTAGGAGGCTTTAATCGGGAAACCGAAGTACAGTATGTATAAATCATATGTATCTATGTACAATTGTTCTTCTGAACCAAATATAGATGTGTTAACTGATGTTTTACGTAGGTTCACAATAGAGTTTCCCTTATAATGTCTCGTTTATATTCTCTCACCTACCATCTGACCTCGAGATGGATTGTGAGCGCACGCAAATGATATGCTTATACTCACCCAGCTCATTGTCTCCAGCCTCATATTTACTGGTCCCACCATACGTCATGAATTGTGCTTTAAAATACATTTATTTATCAAGTAACTTCAATCCTATATGTTTATTTTAAACTCCTATGCGTTTGTGTTTCGGAACCAGAAAGAAATATGACGCCCACTGTTGTATGGGTTATATTCACCTTTTAATAGAAAGATGAAAATTCCACATATATTGCATGTCATATCCAGATTCTGTTGATCTGCAGAAATTACTTCAATTGACGTAATCAGGTAAACCGGTGATTTGGCACATATGAATCAATTGTTCCAACTAACTCAATTATATCTTCATATATCATCTTACTTATATCTCATTTTTATTTATTTTTATTTCTTCCTCGTTTTTATACTTAGCTTTTTGCCCGATGATATTGTAATATTTGTTCCTGTCCCAGGAACTAGACCAAGTATTTCATCATCAACACTAAACACTTCTCCAACTACAGTCACTTCTGTCACAACAACAACGAATTCTACTGCAAGTTGTATTCTGTCACAAAATTACCATGATGTAAAAGCAGATGGTGGTACCACTGCTGCTGCTACTACTACTAATAGTAGTAGTAACAATAATACTAATGTTCATGATTCAACAACAATAACTAAATCTGATATTTGGTCAATGAATAGTAAAATTGCTTCGAATCTCTTAGGTGCTATTTCACCATCATCTAGTTTATTATCGTCAATGATTGTTCAATCATCATTACCATTTTGTTCATCAATATTTATGGATTCGTCATCAGGAGGAGGAATTGTAGCAGGAAGTTCTGGTACTGGCACTACCAACACTACTACAAGCATAAGTGATAATAATACCTTGATGAATAGTAGTAGTATCTTATCTACTCAGAAAAACATTTGTGCTGTAATCAACAGTAGTAGTATTCACAGTAATAGTACATTAGCTAATGAATTATGTACAAGTACATTTGGCGGTAATTATGGTACACTTTTAACTTCAACTACCCCTCCTACTACTACTTCTGATTGTAGTAGCACTAGTGTTAAAACTACAACCACAACTGAAACATCTTTCACAACGTCCACATCAACTATCACTTATGTTCAATGGCGTATGTTATCCTCGGATGGACATGTTTACTTTTTACATCAAGATGATTTTAAGGCATTGAATATTGACGATCATATTGATTACTGTAAGCCGATGAGTTCTAATGTACAGGAAACAAGTAAGTATATATATTTATATAATTTATGACTCATCGAATAGTACACCAACTGAGAGAGAATATAATTCTTAATCACTCTTACCTGTCCTTTGTCCAACCAAGACAGACAGTGTTCTGCTATGCTATACAGGACACAAGATATCAAATTGACTTGAATAAAGCTTTTGACGTTATCCACCATATTCTATCAAATTCGCCATTTGGTTTATGAACTCATATTGTTGCATATTGCTGAAGCTATCACAAACCCAATCTATACATCCTTAAGATGTTTATGCAACCACTCTCACTACCTTAGGGATTGATAGAGGAGTAAGATTTTAGCTGAACTTTGACCAAATCATTTCTTTCAAATGTATCCAAACAATTTTCTTATCTCATTCACTTTTGTAGTTTTACATATTTTTTATATCAGAATGGGGGTTTGTGGAGTTTGTGGCGCTGAATTCATGAGTCTGTTTAAGCTAGACCACCACAATTTTCCCATTCTGATTTTTTGCATATTGTCAGCATGCGTCACATGATTTCTAACATAACTATTATATGTTATGCAATGTGGCAACTGTTAATTTTTTCGAATAATTCCTTTGGTTATTACGTAACACAACTAGTCGATGGGTGTTATTTCATTGTTGTAGATTATACATATATATGGATATTAGTGAAGAGCCGTGATAAATAACTAATTGCATATAAATTTGTTCTCTCTGCTCTCTCTTTATACTAAATGTCAAAATGGGAAATTTTTATCATAGCTAGAGGTGTTTGTGCGCTCTCTCTTGCTCGGGATACTCAGTACATAACATTTTAACATGATTTATGAATTCTTCATGATAACTTTAGACGTTTCGAGGGTTAGACTCAAACAATTAACTGAATAGTTATACACCATTATGATTAGAGAGTAGTATTTCTTCACTCGAACATCAACTCCCAATCATATCCATAAACCGACTACTGCTAACTCTTGACCTTCATTTACTGTAATAAAAAATGTAACATGTGAATGTAAAACAGTCATATTGAACATGTTTTACTCATTGTAATTTTCATTGTAGATAGTTTTATAAGTAAACGCTACTTTCTATTTAACTGTTAAGTCTCTCAGAATCGTTCCTTTTACAAAAACATATAAGTCATCTTGATGAAAGCATAATTTGTTGATGAAATTCGTGAATTCCTAAGAAGGTAAAGCCAACATTCAACAAGTCTGAATTCAGGCAATCATAAAAGAAGAAAAAGGTTAGGGTTGGTAGTAATGAATGAGAATGGGATGAAAGAATACCTTGTAATCACGCAGACGAATACTGAGTATCAGTATTAGTATTGAATCTAACAAATCTTTCAATTTGTTTGATAAATTCATAAATATTGGTCTTTATATATATATATATATATATATATATATATATATATATATATATGATGGAAGACTTCTTTCTAGAATAATGGTAATTACTACTTTGTAGATGATTGAGTCAGTAGACAAGCATCACAATAGCGCGTAGGTCCGAATTCACCAGGACGCGTTATTTCCCTCGACATTACAGGTATATCTTGCTAACATAAATCCAGAGTTTCTTGTTAATTATCTTCAATTATCTAACATATTAAAACATATCTGGACCACTACTAGCCTTTATCTGTTACGGATTTAAATACTGGTTTAATGTTCTAATTTTGTCTGTTTTTTGGATATGACATGTATGTTGTTTGACAGATGTCCCTGTTGAATTTTCACATTTTTCTCTAATATCATGTTTTTTATTAACAGATTCATCTCATCATAGAAATGTGTCGTTTAAAGAAGCGTTTCCAGCACATAATTATTTTATCGCAGCCAGATACAAAAGTAAAGAACGTTGTTTATCCAAACGAGTAAGTTTATCTATCTGTCTATCCATCCATTGATAGACCTATCTTATTGTACATCCTCGTGAGTGTATTTTTGTTCCTTTTCTTTTTTTCTACCAAAATCAAACTTTACCTGAACACAGTCATTGTACTTGTTAGTTGAATTTATGTTTGACAGACATATAAAGTATATGACAAAACTGGGAAGATATCTATCTGTTGTTTGTTTTGCTCTTTGTACGTATCTATACTTCTTGTTGATGTTGACAGTGGAGCGTTTAAATTTTGATGACAGTATCTTGTCCGTTTTTGCTACAGCACAAGTAATAATGCAGTATCAACTTCATTTCTGTCTCTATGTTAGTAAACCTTTTCATATATCTATACCATTTTTCTCAGAAACATTGTTGGACGTTTCCACTAAATGTTTTATGATCGTGTATCCAATCTGTCTATTAAAGGTATATGTCACTTGTATATTTCTGTTCAAATAGTAGTCTCTAGACCATGAAGTCAGTGGTCTAAAGATTAAGTACCCTCTGTGTGATCTGAAAGTTCAGAGTTCGATCGCAATTGGGATTGTGAGTACGTTTTACTGAGGAGTCCCACGCTAAGAAGAAACAGTTGTCTAATAAGCCGAGATGGATAGTGGCTAGCAGTGGCAATACGCACAGTTTGCACATATGCCAATTAGAGACTGACCAGTTGCAGTCCTAACAAATCGATGGTAAGATTCAAACAAACAATACTGAATGAGTTGTCTAATAGTTCCTAATTTTCAGTGATTGCCAAACAAAAGTTTTTTTCATGATGTTTACCATATGATGGTCTTCACGATACAAGTAAGTGGTCAGTTTATAAGAAGTCTGCATAGAGCATAGGGATTGAATTTCATTCATTAGTCTGTGTCTGTAATCTACCTCTAAAAATATAGGTATGCCGAATGTCTGTTTGGTAAATTTCGTAGTCTTATGTCATATGTGGGATGATTGATTACTCAGGAATTTCTGATTGACTTAGTCAAACACTGAATTATGTCAAATGTTATTCATTTATCAGATTTCTATGGTGTATTTTTTATATAAGTGGAGTTGTTTAGTTTCATTCTTCTTGTTAATAACAAGCTATAATACCTGAAATAGGTTAGAGTTTACGATGACTACTTGAAATTGATCACATATATCCTTTTAGTTAATAATTGTTGGTGTGTGGGCTTCGTAATTTTCAGACCTAGTCTCTGGAGACGGAAATCCGTTAGGCACGATGAAGTATGTAAATTCTAGAATTCGACTTCTCCAACCTCTCTCCTTTCGTCAAGAGAAGTTACCATCCCTGCAGATGGTAATTGTCTGATGGGAATAGCATTCTACCGTCACCCAAGTGTACAGACGTCAGTATAACTCCACCCTACGACTATGTGTTTCTTGGTTTTGGTCTAACTGTTTTTCATTTGATCTACTTGACGTGTTAGGATTTTAAGTTACAAGTTCCCACCGATTGCAGTTCAATTATACCATCTAGGTATTAAAACCTAGCCATTACAACCACGTCGAGTTTCCAGCTACTATCAAGTCGAAATATAACCACTGGGATGTCACGATGGTTTATTGGGTGAAACCACTCCACTCAAAGTCAGTAATTCACAGGTTCGAATCCTGAACTATCTATTTTCATTTTTACAACTAGGCTGACCACTGATCTAAGTGACTCAACATCGTGTGCACAATGTTGAAATGTAATCTAGTGGTTGGTCGTAATCGATAGAAAACCCTGAACTAAATTTTCTTGTTATTTGGCACTCACCGGCAAGATGTACCTATAGTCTTGAGGTAGTTAATGCTCACACAACTCACTGAGACACAATTCAGGCTGAATGACGTGATTGGATCCGCCAGTGGGCATCAGTCCTCTGAAGATCATAAAGCCCGTGTAGGATGAAAGGTAGATATCACCGTTTCCTGTCAATTAACTATCTCCAACCACCTAACATTAAACCAATATTTCATTGATTTTATTTTTCCGTTTTCCTTTTGTGTACAGGCAAATAATCGATTCAATTTGCCGAGAAACTTTATATTCTACCGTGTCCGTGCTCGTCCTCTGTTGAATAGTGATAGTAGTAATAACTGTGTTGGCTTTGGTGGTATTCCGTCGTCACCTTCTCCAACTAGGAATCTTAATCGCCAGCATCAAAATAATGGCAGCATTAAAAATTCTGTGATTTGTGAATCCTCTCCTTTTGTTTTATCAGATACAGATGTTAATAAAGAGTAAGTTTGTAAGTGACATATATGTGATTGATGGTGATGGAGAGGAGGGGCGTCCGAGTCCGTTTGACCTTTGTCCCTGAGGAAAATAGGTTGGCGGGTGTTGGTGGTGGTAGATAATAATCGAAGTATTATTGTAATTATTACTGTTTATTATTATTATTATCACAAATATTATTCGCACTGTTATTTTACTCTCCTTTGTTTTTCTCTCGTTATTGTCGTCATTGTTATTATTCTAACCTACTTACATACCTACCTACCATCTTATGCCTTTCATACATTACATATGTCACTTCATTAAACATAATAAATTCCCTTCGCAATCAAACAAGATATACCAAGGGTAAAATTAATAGAAAAGTAATATTCTTCAAAATAACACACACACATACTTAATTACCCCCCTGACTAACATTGAATGATGCAACACATTATACATCCCATAACCCATAACTATATAGATATACTTGAAAGGAAAATCGTCTATTATCATCACCATTAGCCCTCAATAATAGCTTGAGAGAAAAGAATTGAATGTTATTATTCTTATTTTCATTTAATTATTCTTCTACTTTGTCTTATTTTAGACTTTAGGACAGTTCATTACCACCATTGAACTGTGTTGTTGTATATGAAACACTTACCATTAGTTATTCTTTATAGTTGTATGCAATCTATGTATGCACAAGTATTTGTTAAGCGCCTGTGTCTTTCTTTTACCGCTTTCTCCCTATATGGAACCATATATAATACATATATATGTATTCCTTGTTTGTGTATGAAATACCCCTTTCCTCTTATTCATCTTGTTCAAGAGGTTATTTACTCTGTGTTCTTTAAGCGCCTGGATGACTTTCATCATATAACCTACTTGTGTCTGTTAGTTCTTGACTGTTAAATATAATCGCTTGTTTCAAAAGTTGTTTTCGGCTTTATTACACACACGCACCCTTATCATTTATTTACATATTCATATCTTCTATACTATGTTCTTGTTCAATGTTTATTTTCAAATGAACAACTGTGTATAAAGCTATCCAGTTCTCTTATCGACATTAGTATTATTATTATGATTGTCATTGTCCATGATGACAACATTGTTAATGTTGATGGTATTTCCTTCTGTCTCCGTTTAACAACATAAACTATGGCAAGCAATAGAATTCCTCATAGATTTTTCTTATTCTTTCGTCTATTTTCAATTTGACATGTATAAATTATTGACTATTGTTTATGTATGTTAAATATTATGTGTAGATTTCTCCTAACCTTTTTTTTCGCGCTCCTCTTCATTGTACCGTCATCACTTCACAAAATGGGTATGTATACATACACTTATCCAACCCTACTTATATATACATATATAAAAAAATTATTTTATACAGGGTTTATATATATATATATAACTATCTCAAGTCATATTGGTCTTGTATTATCTAGAACAAATACTAAACCTATAAACTAGCTAATCCTAACTGATTGTTTGGCTGTTCCTGTTTTCTGACTAAACAAACTATTCATGTTTTGGTTTGTACTAAAAAATTGTCATTAATATCATCATCGTCATCATTATGATCGAAATCTTTATTCATATTATGATAACAAATACAATGATCAATTAATAGACTTGTTGAATGAATGGAATGGAACAATGAATTTCCAACTAATCTATTCATTGTTTTCAGCTTTCTCCTTCATCTTTTTCACCATCGTCTCTATGCTGGTATTGCTTGTGTGTGTGTGTGTGTGTTCATGGTCTTCTTTATGTTACCCAGTAAAATACATCAATGATTTGACCATTTCAATAATTTTTTTCTGTAGATGAATTTTATTTTGTGACATTGTTCTTTTTTTTTGTTTTGTTGTTGTTCTTTTAACGCTTCGTCGTTCATCCCTTCCTTTAACTGATAAAGTTTAACCGGTTTTTTTTCTGTATACAGATTACAATTAATAATAATCTATCGATATGGTTTTGTTCCCTGTTCGATTATATAAGATGATACTTTGTATTTGTAATTTATTCTGTACTATATAACAAACTGATAAAGTGTAACCCATACACAGATACAACAGATGTGTAATAATGATCATTTCTGTTATAGTCTATATTTGACTTTCTTTTCGTTCGTCAATCTTCGTCTTCATTCGTGTTCTTTATTATTATAAACACTAAGATTGATATACAACGATGATAATGAACAATTACACAAAAAATTTTTCTCATTTCATACAACAATGAAACTCATTATCATTTACACTCAGATAATAATTACTATTCAATTAAAAGAATTTTCTTAGTTGATAAGTTCAGGTTTTTCTCTTTATGAACAGATTGGGTTTTAGTCCAGTTATAATAAAGAAACAATTTATGTTTATCATTTTGTACACTTGATATTCGCTAATATAACTAGATTAAATCGATCATTAGTGTTATAAGACAAATATGGATCTGATACTTTGGGCTATATATATATATATATATATATGCCCAGCACAAATCTCATTTAATTTTTGTGAGGGCTGTGACACTGCTGAGGTGCCCAGACCGAAGCAGGTGGTTTTCTTAGGGGGCCATACCCGGAGTCTTTGACCTAAAGGTCATGAGGAGATGCAGTCCCATGGTAGCCGGTGACCAACGATTGATTCATTCGACATTTGTTCCTTAAGGATACTGGAGCCCATGTGCATCATTTTTTTTGGAATCAGGGTTTTCCAACTCATTAAGGTGGATATTCCCTGTCCACCAACCCGGTTAAAGCGCCAGACATTCGCTTTACGTCCTCTCAAATTCGTAAACAACACCGGTGCCACAAGAAGGTAATGAGTAGGATATCCCTGGTAGAGGCTATATACACGTGGCCATGTGAGAGCATTTGGAGAAGGAGAGCGAACTCTGCCCACTCTCGGCTGTACCAAGGCATTTGGGGGCACTTTGAGCCAATTAGATATGTACATGTAATTAGTTAAGGAACGATTTACATTTCTAATTGATGAAATATATACTATTGGTCTCAATCCGGTTCGTCAATGAAAGCTACTATCTCCATATGAATTTGAAATGATAGGTTTATTTATTCAATTGTCTATGATTGTGAATCTAATCAATTCTCTGATTGTTCTTATTAGTATTCTGACTACCTTGAATTATCCAACCTGTTTCTTTATTGTGTTATTAAATTTCTTTAACTGAGATGGTAAAACACATTATAAATGATGTCATCACAAATATCTTCTTAGTCCCATTCAAGTTGATACGATTGCTTGCTGACTTATGTGACACTCTACTTTCATTCATTAGTAGCACGTAAACAGTTCAAAACTCCACTTCACAGATTTCGGCAATTGATTAGCTCAAAATGGAGTACATAAATATCTGCCCCAAAATGCCCTGATGTGGCTGAGGGTGGGGAGAGTCGGTTCTCCCTCTCTCTCGAAACGCTCTCAAATGACCACCTGCATACAACCACTGCCGAGCAAGTCCTACTTACTGCCTTTCAATGGCGTGGGTATTGTTTACGAAATTCAGAGAATGGTAAGCGAGTGTCCGGTACTTTAACCGGGTTAGTGTGTATGGAGGTTCCACTTAGTGGAGTTGGAAAACCTTGATTCCAAACCAATGGTGTACATGAGCTCTATGATCCTAGGAAAACGAATGGCGTATGGATCTATTGTTGGTCTCATGCAATTAGTTCTATTTATGAATTTAAATAAAGACAGAACACATATTGATGGAGAATAATATGAATTCATTATATTTCGTAGTTTCTCGTCAGCTACTTATATTTAGATATTAAAAAAGTATGGTTATAATTGATAACTATGTGCAAAAAAAGGTCAGAGGTTATTAGGTGTTAGAATCAAGGAAACATTAATGATGGGTGGTGTAATAGTTGAGTGGAGTTCACAGACAGATAAAATCAATTGTGTGATAATTTTAGAGGTGATAAAGGAATCACGGAATTAAAAACTGATAAGATGGGTTACGTAATGATTGTATAGAATTTGAAGATTTCACATAATTTAAGAGAATCAAGTGAGCGGAAATGTGAGTGAAAGGGTGGTTTAAGAATTGGGTAATGGAAAAGGAATATAATACAAACTAAATGTTAACCAAAATAAAACTAATAAGCAAAAACAACAAGCACAAAAAATTGGATTACGAGGGTAGTAATAAGTTTATCACTGTCTCTTTTTGAATACATTGATCCAGATTGAGTTTTTTATCGCAATCACTTTAGTAAACCGGAGAGCAGTCATACTTCTTTGTTTGCTAATAATTTTGAAAGCATGAGAGATGCCAATGATGTGCCCTGTGTGAAGTAAATGCCGAGCTATCGCACTGTTGAGATCACTGGTCCCTCGCAGCCTCAGTTGGTCACTGGCTGCCTTGAGACTACATCTCCTAACGATGCTCCACTGCCTTTTGGACTAGACCTTTAGGTCAAATGCTCCGGGTTCGGTCCACCGAGAAAACCACCTGCTTCGGTCTAGACATCCTGACAGTATCCCATCCCTCACATAAATCGGATGATTTGTGTGACATATCTATTCGTTACCTCCTTGCACCAATGTCAAAATACTTATTATTATGTTATGGATCAAACTGGTTCATTTTTGTACTTAATTGAAAATTGTTATTAAGAAAACATCCATTCAAACATGTCTTTAGCAATTTACCGAACTAAATTGTCCTCATATAAACAAAAATAGACGATGGTTTAAACGATCACGAGTTTCTCGTCCCTGAGGTACACACACTGCTGAGGAGTCCCATACTAATACGAAACAACTATCTAATATGTCACGGTTTTAAATAATATACCTACCTTAATCATCCCTGACAAATATGGTCTGTAAGTTACTAACTAAACCTAGTATTTCTGTATAGAATGAAGTCGGTGAGATAGCAAGAACGTTGTTGAAATGTATAAGGACAAAATGATTGAATCATAAAAGATGTAGAAAGGGGAGAAATATATATATCAATAGCATTCGATCAGCACTAAGAAGGACTTGACACGCATGACATCGATCACCACCCAGTGATCAATCGATTGTAATTACATATAAAGTGTATCAGATAGATTTTGTAATAGAAATGAATATTAAGTTAGGTCAGAGGTAGAATTCGGATCTTCATTTTGAAACACTGTTCCAATCCTTTTAATTATTTGTTACTTAAAATTCAGAACCTGATCCCATTTGGTAAGTCAGTCTTAATACTATAGATTCTTTAAACTGTCTAACTAGTTTTAATCATATGATTCATTTGCTTTCATACTGTGAAAAGTGCTGAAGAACTTAGTTGGGAAATTAAGTTTTAATGCAACTTGTTCAGCGCAAATGGTCAGATTGATAAATATTAAAGTGATTCCTCTATCAGTCTCCGTATCACTATTGGACTCACACGTAGCATTAGTTGTATTTAGTTCTGTTGATTAGTTGTCTGAATTGTTCTTTTTAATCCTTAAATTAACATTTAATCAGGCGCTGTACTTCTTAATGTCTGAAAATAATAAGAGCAACTATTGACTTATTATTCTGTTATGGGATAAAGCTTATTAGTCTAAATTTGTATGAGTATAAGCTGTTTAACCGAACTTACACTTTAGGTGAAGGTCACAAGCTAACTAACCAATAATTGCTTAACTTTCTGCGTTGACCTTCAGAATAAAGCGTATTATTACGTACGCCTGCCAAATTACCATAAAAATCATTCATACTATTAATGGTAACACGGTGAAACAAATTAAGGTATTGGTTTATAAAACAAATATATTCCATTAAATAGCATAGTTTATATGCCATATGCATATTTAATAGTATAAGTACGTTTTGAAGATAATTTCAACCACCGATTGGAAATTAGTAAATCATTTCAATACAGAAAGCACGAAACAGCTTTCATATCGTTTCTTGGAATTACTGGTTACTAAGTGCTAAGGACTTAGTTAGCTGTTTTCAAGTCTAACATAGAGGACGGTACTTTGCATTCATAAATTTAGTAAAAGATTACTCGAATTTCCAACTTTAATTGATCTGTGATATAATTCTATTAAAATACACTAGTCATGCCTTCTCAGTAGAAATTGATGATTTCTACTTGAAAGTAGTTACCTGTAAATGTATGATTGTTATTAGAACAATGTTCAATCTATTTGTCCAACAACTGAAGCCATTGAGTCACATTTCAAGTTTTTTTTTGCCCTATACATTATTTTCCTACGGTAGGATATCATTAAAAAAAATGTAAAGACAATTGGTTTATGATATAGTGCAAAGGAATGACTGCTATCCAAGACTTTCTAGATCAGTATACTTTACTGATGATATACTGACTAGTGTCTGACTTCGCGAAAAATTCTTGTAGTTCTAATATAAAATAGTGGCTAGTATTAGTTGAACATATTAGGAACGAAATATAAACCATTGATAGCATTGGATAACAGTTCTATTATGTAGTAAACCAACTGAGCTTAAAAATGTGTTCTGTTATACTTTGACTGAATCGTTTGAAATATCACCGTCACAAAATCTAACGATGTTAGGTTATATCTGTGTGGTCGTTAATCTACAGTACTGAAAAGTTGAATACAAGGACGAAGTATCTATCCAGTGCTTTTTGGTTAAGATTATGCGACCGTGGGGACAACAAAAGGTTCTTCTTGATAAAGGTAATTTAGTTAATTTACATGATAAGAATATTATTTGTGCATGTATTTTATCTTTAAGAATAATCAAAGTTGAGTGAAAGAAACTCTTCTGTTATTCTTGGATATGTACTTTGTCTAATGAAGGAGGCATCTATAAAATAGTTCCATTTTCTATTAGTCAAAGCAGATATAGGCAAACCAATGTTTCTAAGACTTTTATTTTGGTGCGATGAAACATGTTGAAATATCGATTGGATAAGATCAAGTTTTATAGAATCACTGAAAATTCTGAAAACAGGACAGACACTTAACATTTTGAAAAGATCTTATAAACTCTGTACAAATGCATGATAGCTCCCTTTGAAAGATTGTCTTCAAAAAAAATGAGGATGCAAAAGCGGAGGAAACAAAATCGATGAAATAAGCATCAAGTAAATTTTTTTTTGGTTAACGTTTTTTTTAGCGAGTTGGTTTTCTACATTCATATTCATAACTGATCGTTGATCAAGTAGTCATCAACTTCATGTTTGTGTAATCCTTATTGTTTATTAAATTTAAGCGATTAATTTGCAGAGTAACCACTAGTTTAGATTATTCGAAACCTCGTGTGCTATGTTGAGATGTTAGGTGTTTGGAACTAGTCAACAGGAAACTCTAGACATAGGTTGTTTTGATTATTTACTTTGACCAATAAAAATATCAACTTTTAGTTTTGAGTTCTGTCGCTTAACATCTAGACCACCAACCAGGAATCCAACGAGATACACGCAT